GTCTCCCCCCGGCAGAGTTCCAGGCCCATGTGCCGCCCAAAACGCAGCAGGAGAACAAGCAGCAAGGAGTCTCCACCCTGCAACAGTGGCTCAATAGCATTGCCCTACCCGAGTACCTCGAGTTTTTCAAGTGAGTTTCCGCCCGAAGTAACATTCTGATAGAGTTATCTTTAAATAAAACACATAACTCATAATGCCACTCACGATTTGTTCAATTAAGGTTTATAAAACTAAATTAAAGATAGTAATAGTCTGACATCATTGTCGTAATATCTAATCATCTAATTTTTGCTTTCCAGCAAGCATCTCTACAACACCATCGAGAGCGTGTGCGGTGTCTGGGATGTGGAGCTTCAGACTGTGTTGGAAATCAACAAGCTGGGTCACCGGAGACGCATTCTGCAATCCCTGGCCTACATCCGTCAAATGCGCGACAGTGATTCCAAGTCGTTGAAGACACCGCTGGGAGAAAACAACGAAACCAATCAGTTGACAACGAATGGCAATGGCACTGCCAAGGAAGTCGCACCCCGGATACCCGCCAATCCCGTGCAACATCGCAACTCCATAACGGGCTATCGAAAGAGTCGGTAAGATAAACTTTAAATAATGTTTTTAAAATTATTACTAATTATACTTGTATAATACTGAACAGACCCGCTCCACCGCCACCGGCTCCTCCGGCAAGAAAGACGACCCCCTCAACGGCACCACTTCATATACGGGCTCCTTCGGAGCTCCTGCTGGGTCTACCAGCAAACATACGGACCACCGAATGGCGTCACTCGGCGCAGACTTTGCTCGACGAGCACATTAATTACGAGGTCCAGGTAGGTTAACAAACCATATGTTTAAAGCTTTAATAATATTCTTTATTAAAATTCCAGTACCTCGGATCAACGGTTGTGAAAGAACTTCGTGGCACAGAATCCACCAAGAAGTCCATACAAAAGCTTAAGTCCTCAGCCGAGGGCGAAGCTAAAACAGGATCTCCCCTTTCCCTGGCCATAAGTCATCGTGGCGTAGAATTCATTGATGTGGGCAGTAAGGTAAGGAACTAATTCTGAATGTAAAATTCTTATTATATTTTAACCTGTATTTATTGCAGCGTACTATCTGTGTGCATGAGATTCAGAACATAAACTGTGCCTGCCAGGACTCAGAGGATCTACGCCACTTTGCCTACATCACCAAAGAGCAGGACCTCCACTATTGTCATGTCTTTCTGGTTCAAAGCACTGTGAGTACAAAATATACTAATATGTATAACCAATGTCTATAAATATTCTATTATATTACCAGGATCTGGCCAGCGAGATTATCCTGACCCTTGGCCAAGCCTTTGAGGTGGCCTACCAGTTGGCGCTGCGCGACGGAATTGCAACGACTCCAGGTCTCCTCCTGGACAACGGAGTGCTCCAGGGCGAGTACTGTGGCGGGAAATAGAGCCAGGACCTGGCCGCAGTTCAGGCCCCAGGACAACAACCACCGCCGACACCACCGGCACCACTCGGGCCAGGTCCCAGTCACTCTCTCAGTCACAGCTTAGGCCGCAGTCGCGGTCACAGTCGGAGTCGCAGCCTATGCGCCAAACTATTCTGCCTCACAAACTACGGGGCTCTGTTCAAGTTGTAGTTAGATGGATTTTTTGAAAGGACGTTATTAGTTTATGGTCCTTGAGCATTTGGATTTTATACGAGGCGTTTTCTATTTATTTAACTATTTGAATGGCCAAAGAACAACAACTACAAACGAAACGAACAAAAAGACTCAAAATGAACAAAAGGCACAATTTTTTCCAATTAAGAGAAATGCACCAAAACCAAGATGAAGGCTTTTTTCGAGCTTCATACATACATAACTTCCACTAACAGAAGCAGAAAGCTTTCCTTTTTAAATCGAGTTTTTATTGAATGATTTTGTATCACTAGATAATTTTCTGCTTGTGTAACAAATGCATCCCAAAACCAAAACATATTGAGCTATTGCATTTACTTCATTAACAAGTAAACTAAATAATACAAGAAAACAAAGTATATGGAAATGTTTTAGCGAATTTTAGGACATAATCAAATCGAATGGAAATCACGTTTGGAAGCGGATCGAGAAAATTAAAAGATATTGGCTTATTAAACAATTTTATTGATGTTGAACGCTGCATGTTGCGTAGACGGATGAAATGAGGAGTGAATCGATATAAGAGCAATGCAAATCATATCCCGCATTCATTAAAAGCTATAACCTATTGGCTAATCACACTTACTATATATATTATGCATATTACATACGACTAACTCTACCATTGATATGTATGCGTGTTGTTATATAATTTTTAATTGACTATTTAAGCGAATCGAATCAAATCAAAGGACAACGCATCAAGTTATAAGCAAGTTGTTGCTTACAAAATCGTAAAATGAATATGGACTACATCGATGTGACGAGTCAGCTGCATTTTAGATATGTTTTTGAGAAATATTTGATGGATTTTTAAACGAACTTTTAACTAGTCCCTTAGTTCTTACGTAAGCAATTATCAAATCATGTATGCATTTGCATTTATTCAATTGTAATCCCTGTTTGTTTTGATTTGAGGCCAGGCCTCGTTGTTGTTATAGCCATTCTTTTGACTCAGTTCATGTACGTAATAGGGTATTTGAATTATTTAACCTAGACCATATTGAGGCGTTTCCCAGACCCTTCTCTATCGATGTATGCAAACGCTTTAAATGTTAGCCTGCTTGTGGTACAACAGATTCCATTAAGTACCTACCTAATCAATACAAAATCGAAGTTAAATACAAATTACAAATCATCTTAATCCATTTTCTCTGGGCAGTAGTTTGTTATGCCATAGACACGCACACGGAACGTAAATCAATTTTATTAAACTCTATATACAAAGTCATATTCAACTCAAATCTAGCCCATAACTAATGAAATTGAATAAACCAATATAAATATATATCTATATACAACAAATTAAAGAGAAAATTTCAAAATTTTTAAGTGTTTAGCCCCGCAAACGATCAAACATAATTGAAAGGAATGGAAACTGAACGAGGATACTAAATAAAATACATAATTAACTGAAGCCACCAAGTTGTTTAGCTCTTTTTGCGGTGGGGTCAGGCCGCCGCAGTTTAAACGCCTCGTGATGTCAATTAAGGCCCCACTTTCCCACAGGCTCCCTCCCCCCTGCATGGAGTGCTCCCTGGAAAGAGAAAGATAGTCCCCTTCGGAAAAGGACAGCTGGAGGGGAGAGCGGGATCAGTTACACAAAGCCAAACGCGTAAATGCGAATTTAATGTGAGCCGGTTTACGGTGCGGCGCGATCGCTTGTTGGTTTTTTATACGGCTAAATGCGTTAACCATTTGATCATGCGAATATTAATTGGCATTGGCAAACACCAAAGCGCACCTCGGCCTAATGTTGCTGGCCACAAAAAGTGCATGCGTCAAATGCTGGCCACTCTTCGAACCGGCCAAGTTACAAAACCAGCCAGAATGACGACGTCTTCAGCATCTTTAAGGTAATCTCTTCGCATTGAACGCATCGAACATTATATCCAAAGTAGTAGTGATGGGTTTTTTTATTGTACAAGTTTTTAGTCAGGTTATTAAAATTAGTAATTAAAAAAGTTGTGAATATAAGGCATTCAGCCTTATATTTTTTTCTATATTTCAATATTTCTTTTTAATAGTTGTAAAGTTGGTAATAACATATTTTTCAAATAAATTATTTATATACATTTTTTTTTTTTACTACTAAAATTTAAAATTTAAGCTCGTGTCACGTGTTCAACTCTGAAAGCCTATCGCCTTACGCTTAACGGTTTAAATTATTGTCTCCCCGTCTCACTCGCGTGCAATTTGTGGCGCGCAGCTTATCACAATTTCATTATTATTATTATTATTATTACTATGGCCATTGCCATGGCTAAATCTATCCATCTATGTGTATGTTCAGCATCTTCTCTCGAGCCAAGCCAAGCCAAGCCATTTGGCATTTCTCCGTCTGTGCGTTTATTTGTAATTGAAATTGCGTGACTTTATTCTTTGATTTCACTATTGGCCATAGCCACGGCGATAGCCATTCTGGTAATGTGCCTCTTGCATATGAGGAGAGGGGGTAGTGCAGGGTAAGCGAATCAACCTGCACTTGCACACTTTGCCCTCTCATTGGTGATTTATGCCTCTAACGGAGCGCAACAAAGCCAAAACGACAAAACGGAATAAAAGCTACGTAAAATTTGACAAACTTTTTGGCTAAGCTTTCATTTTGCTGAAGCGCATTGGTGGGAAACGCTACTTCCGATTCTGTTGGCCTGGTCCTAATGCCAGCTACCAACGGAATATTTGCCCAGCCCTTGAAAATCTCAAGTACCGCCCCTGGTGCCATGGGTGTTATATTAGTTGTTAGCGCTCAAAGCCACCGAAAGCTCTTGGCCGTTTATATTGGCCTGGATATTTCTGTACGCCTGCTGAGACTCTTACCAAAAAAACAGCCAGACGCCAACAAATTGAGTGCTCCAAAGAAGAGAGCTTTTTATTAAATATGTCAACAAATATTTTTCAATAAAAGTAAAATTAAAACTGGATCCTACTTAAAATATTCGGGAGTTACACCACTCGACACTGGGGGTTGACAAGCCGCTATACAATCTTCCTCGTTATGGAACCGATTTTCATTGCCACCGCAATTTGAGTAATCGAAGGTAATACATCTTTGTTCCTTCATCACAAAACCCCACATCTTCCGATGTCCTTTGCATCGCCCATACTGCAGTCGCTTATAGCACCCTACTACAGAAGTTAAATAAAGTTTTAAATATCCTGTGTCATTGCCCAAAACTTACAGTTTCTTGGCTCTGTCACCGAATGAATGCTTTGCGGCTGTACAATTACGAGAAAGGGCAACAGTCCCAGAAAAATACGAAACAGTTCCATATTATACCTTTGAAACTCGGAAAGAATAATAAAATTGAGAAGGGTTGCACTGATATTTATAGTAAAGTTTTTAATGGACATCTGTTTTAGTCGTAAGGTTAAAAAAATTACATTTCTAGTCTAGGTTCAAAAAGTACAAAAAATTACATTTCTAGTTGTCTACGCTTTAGTTTGAGTTCTTTTTTGTGGAATAGGCTTAGGCAAGTCGAATCCTTTGCAATACTCTTCACAGTCCTCACGGGTAAAGAAGCGATTACGATTTCCTCCGCAGTTCGAATAATTAAACTTCGCGCACTTTAGCCTGTCAATGTTAAAGTACCACATGGAGCGATGACCCTTGCAATTGCCATATTCCGGTTTTCTGTGGCAAGTATCTTTAAATATTTCAATGAATATAAATACAGCTTAAATCACAAGAATAATACCCTTGCGCAGCTTGTATTGTTCCTTTGCGTATTCCTCCTGCAATGTGTCTATGCGACCGGCAAGGATCGTGATCGCAAATAGAAGTGTAATAAAAAGAGCTAGTTGCAGGCACAACATTTTTATGTTAATATTAATGCTTGATTTCAGGAAAACTAATGCCCTGCTCAATTGTGCCACCGCTTTTATAGTAAAAAAGTGGGATTTGATATCATATGTATGGTTTTAATGAAAGAAAAACATCTTAGATAATATTATCCAAGAATGGAGGCCCACCCACTCCATAAAAAAATTCAAAGAAAACATCTGTGGCCCGGCAATTGCTTAACGCGTAATCAGTGGACAAAAATTATGCGACCGGTTGGCAAGCATGCGATTTCAATTAAATTTCTCAATAAATTACAAGTGCAGAAAGATATACAGAAACACGGCAAAGAAAAATGACTAAAATAATTGCACGCGTTTCCACGGCGCTACAGTTTAGATGCATAAAATAAAAACTAACTAGCAACTAGTCTGAGCCGGCATTTAAACCGGTACTTAGCACCCCGATATATGATTACGCAAGCCCGGCAAATGCCGAACGCCCAAACATCACCTCCGCGCGAACTGAGCTCACCTTACCTCACTTGAGATCTCCAGAGATCAAGAACTGTAAGCACATCACACATACGCCGTGTTGTACGGTCAGCACAGAGAGAACTATCAAAGATTTTTATTTTATTTAATAATATTATTAGGAATACAAAGTAGTAGTTTAAAAAACTATAACACAACTCTTTTTCTCTAGGTATTCACAACGAAATTGAAAACATCGGAAAAACTGTTTGGCAAAACTGAAATTCTAGATCAAGGCCACAGCCGGCTAGGCCCATAAATATAAATCCACATCGATATCACAGCCGAGCACACGCAAAATGCGTAAACTAGTTTTGGCTCCCGGAGATCAGTGGGTCGTGGGGAGATGAATGGGAGGATTGAGGTGGAAAGTCGGGGGCCCCATTCCGACACCTCGCCCAATATGTAGCCAAGGAGGAGGCAATGTCAGGCAACACGATAAATTGTCAGGCGAATGCATTTTGTCACATTCGGCTATTTTGCATTTGTAAATTACAAGACAAAACACTTAGCAGTCACCTCAGAAGTAGCTTAAACGAAAAAAAAACAAACAATTTTTGGGTTGCACTGAAACCCAATTACACATTAAAATGTAGTTGCCTTTTTTACGTGTGTCGCTGCAAATGTAGATCAATCGAATTTATTTAATTCACTTATTATTAGAATGCAAAAGTAGCGCAAACCTGGGTGTGGAGAAGGAAATGGGTTTTCGATAAACATAAATTACTTTACTAAATGTCAAATAAATTAGGAATTCAGAAATTATGAAAACATTTCATTATTTTCAATGCCAGAGCAATAGTTTTTCCCTACGGTTTTGATTTGAAAGCAAATCGACTATTAAGTTATAGCACGGCATTAGCCAAGTGAGCAGCATTGGCCTTCGCTTGAGAGCCGGCCTTCTATAAACAAATAATACAAATTATTAATAAATACAGTTAACTCCAGAGTTCGGCTCGCGGCCATGACAATTTGGCCGGGCAACCAGGCTAAACCTTTAACCGAATTGATTGCACATAATTTGAATTATTTAAATGTGGCATTTGATTTTTTCGCCACTCTTCGCCGACACTTGGCAATTATGGTTATTTGAGTGACCCTTGGGGCTGCCAAGGCCAGGAAGTTGGCCCAAGCTAAATGGCTTATCGGCTTGCAAAAATCTAAAAATCTCTCGCCACTCCATGATTGATGACAGTTGGTTTCCCCAGCTGTTTTGGTTACTTATTTATTTTTTTTTTGTTTTGGTCGCACACGCAAATGAACCACATGGAAAATTGTGCAATTATTGCTAATAAAAATGTTTATGAACGTTACCTGTTACCCGATGCCCGATGCCGACCGGGGCTGCCAGCGACGACTCCTCTTTCTGTCCACCGACTGGTGATATGAATCACCATAAATCTAAGAGCGGTATAAATATTTATCGCGATTTTATAATCATCCCCGGCCAGACCAGGCCAAGACCGACCGAAAAAAATGCCTCTGCGTGAAGTGGCAAGCTGCCTTCTCGTGAGAATTGCACTCACATCGAAATAGTAAACTATAAAGTTTAAAAATATTTGGCTGACTAACAGGTACTCTTATCTTACAAATAATAGCAGTACTAAACCTAGTGAATAATTTCTAAAATACGCTTAAAATCTCGCAAAACAAAGCTGAAAATATTTTTATTAAAACTAAAATATTTCAAGTGAGTTTTACTTTTAATATAGGGTATTGAAAATATTTGACCAATGGCTTGATCCTCTGGCATTTTATGATAGGCAAATTTTTACCACAGCGATTGAAATTGTGGAGATAAAATAGCCCGTCTGGGAGAAGAGGGCAAAAAAAGATCTGGCCGTCTGGGAAAGTGGGTTAATTAGCAGGAAGCAAAAGGAGCCATCGAAAGCACCCCACTAACTCCAAAATTGCTCCAATAAAACAGGCATAGCATAACGCATCGGAATGCCCGAAAAACTTGACCCGAAAAGGCATCGGCGGCGGTCTGATCATTGCCCATTGGCATTGGTGCTGAGACCGCCGCGGACATGTCCAGGACGCCCGGCTCTGCTCGACGTCATGGTTAATTGGGCATTCAAATGTCAAGTTCAATTTTGGGCCACATTAGCGTTACCTATAAAAGGGCCGTTGGCTCTGTGCTCTGCATAAAATGAGATTTATTGTTGCATTTTTCCATCTGCTGCCACTGCCACAGCTACTGCTACCGCTACCACTGCCGGTGGTGGCAATGGTCCAGTGATCTGGGCCTGGCCCAAAACAATTGTCCAGACCTTGCCAGTTGCTTGCCTTTTATCGATTGGCTTTTGAATAATTTCGGCTGGGCACCGTATAAATTGGAATATTGTTAGAAAAATGCAAGTAAAATTTGCAAATTGCATTTACATTCTGTGTTCTTTTTTTACTTTGATTTAGATTCGTTTTCAAAGCTTTGGCCCAAATGCGTTTCGCTGCGTTGATGTTGACGTGCCACTTCCGCTTCGGCCCGCTTTTTGGGCTCAAGTTGGACGGCATTTTTATCGGCTCTCAAATGTGGAGGCTTAAATGCTCCAAATAGAAATATAAAAATCTTGCAATTAATTTCAGTTAAATTGCTTGCCTCTAAACTATTCTAAGTGCAACCAACTAGACCACAAAAAACCAACTTTAAATGGTAGAAAAAATGAGGAAAAAATACAGCACTACCGCCGACTGAGCTTTAAATCATAAAAATTATTTTGGCTGAAGTGGCTGGACATAAATCAAGCGATAAGTAAATTAAAAGCCATAAATTTGCAATTAATTTTTAATTTGTGCAAATTGATAGCCATCAACGTGTTGAAACTGCCAATAAAAAAATTATGCCAAATAAATCAAGAACTTAACAAAAACTTTGATCCAGCATCTGGCATGAAAACGCCTTAAAACCAGCTGGAGACAAATTATAAGATTGAAGGATTAAACTTGGCCGGGAAAACTGTAAACTCTGTGTGGAATTTATACGAGCAATTTGCACAGCTACGGTCCTATTACCGTTTTACATCCGCCAGCGTTATCTGGACAAAAAGAAAACAGAAAAGTAAACACTGGGCCAACAATCAAATTACATTAACACCACAGTCTCCAGGCAGTCACTCCATCAGCTCACAGGTCCAAGCCGTATAAAATGCCCCTGGCTGCAACCTACGCATTGTGGCCAATAAACAAAAGTGTGAAGGTCTCTCGGGATGGCTTACAGGAGGAAGAAGAAAAGGTGCAACACGAACCGCTGACCCTGGAGATGTTGCTGCTATTGGTGTTGTGCTGCTTGGCTAGTCACTGGGCATTATTGGATGTGATTAATTATGCTGACATTAATTCGGCTAATAGAAATATATCTCGTTGCGTTGAAAATGATGTTGACGTGATTGTAATTGAAGTTGTTGCCAGTGTTGATGCTGTTGTTGCCTGAATGGTGTGCCTGAATGGTGCGCCTGAATAGCTTTTGCCTTTAACCCGGCTGGGAAATTGCCTTTAACACTGCGTGCTGTGCAGTTTATTGCAAATTTGTTTGTATTTATGATAATTGATGGGAAGAAATGGTGAAAAGCGCTTATGAAAATTCATTTTGGCAGCTAGCATTAATCAAAACGATAATTGGCGACTGTTGTTCCGCTGTTGTTTGCTTTCACACTGGCCACGGATAGTGATAAAGTCAATTGGCTGGCAAGCAGGCTGAGCTTTAACTTGGAATCAAAAGACACAAAGACGGATAGAGAGAAAGAGCAATTTTTGAAAGTTCTGGGGGCTGTGGCAACAATTAAGAAGCTACATATGCCCGGGCCGTATAATCAACTCGGTCGCATAGCAGGCCTGAATTATTTGCCACGCAACGTCAACGTATTTAAATCAATTACAAACAGCAATTTGCCGGCAGCTTCTTTTCCCTCTCTCCCCCCCAATCAAGGCATGCGTTTGTATTACAGATGGGATGACAACCAACAACTGCTGCAGCAGCAACAGCAGCAGCAGCAGCAACAACCTGAATGGCAACAGGTCCCGCGTGGTCGTGTTAAGTACGCGTGAATTAATGTGTTGCTAGAGTCACTACGTCTTTGCAGCAAGCGGCAACATCTGCCCCAGTCTTCAGCCACGATTGCCGGTTGTTTCAGCCAAGAATTTAACAGCCAAAGCGCCGCCTGGATAACTGGCAGCCTGGTAACCAGGCGTCGCGTAATTTACGTCGATTTGATGTTGCCAACATAAATTTATCGCGCGCACATTTTTCGCTGCTGCATCGCCTTCATGTAGTTGCAATGTCGCTGATGATTCTGCTGTTACTGCAACTACAGCTGCACAGAAAGAATTTAATTTTTTTAATAAAAACAATCTCCAAAATAAAATTTTATTAGTTTGATCAAGAAGCCTTCTTTATTGTTCTTTCTTAAACAAATATTCTTAGCATCTTGAATTCGATATATGATTTAATTTCTTTTCGTGTGCTGCATGTTGCTGCTGTGCTTTGATTTCACAGAGCAGCAACCACACAAAAATGTCGCAATACAATAATGAAAAAGCAAGAAAAATCATGTTGGCATGCGGTGGTTGTTGCATTTGCTGTTGCCTTAAGATTTTCGTAGGCAACATTTTTGCCAGATATTTTTATTGACTGAAGAGGCCGCTAAAGATGAGGCACTAGCCTCAGCAGCAGCAACAGCCGGAGAAGATATTTTGAAGAGGCGCCTGCGTGTATGAAATATGGTGTTGCAGCAGCAGCATCAACAGCAACAAACACATGTGATGTTGTTTGTTGTTGGCCCGCCATGACATTTTCGAGGAGCAGGAAGTCGTTTTGCGTTTGCCTTGCTGCCTTGCTTTTGGCCACATTTATGAGCTGCGCTTTGGCCGAGTTGCAAGTTGGTCGTGAGTGTGTTGCAAACGCTTTGTTCGCATGCAATATGCCACTTGTTGCAGCACAATGCAGGACAATATGAAAAATTCCAAAAATCCATAAGTAGTTCTTGCAGCAACGATCCTTATAGAGCATCTAGATTTCTGTTATGGATTCTGTGGCATTTCCCAGCTATGTGCAACTTGCGGCAAATGATGTCATTAGTACTAGACCCGACACGCAATGGGAAATTAAGAAATTAAGTGGCAACAGTTAGCAACTCTGCGGCATGTTGCTGCTGTGCTGCAGCCGTCCTGAGGGCAACACGCCAGTCTAATTGCAAGTGGATCGGAGAGCCATGCAAATTGCTTTGGTATGTAAAATTGCTACCAACCAGCTGCCAAAGAGGAGCAAGTTGCAGTTGCAAGTTGCAGTTACTGGTGGGTGATGTGATGTATTGTGGCCCAGCGAAGCAGTGAACTCCGCCTTCCCAATTACAGGCGATCTGTACTAGCCATCGACAATTGGGGTTGATCGGAGCCGAGAGCGAGTGATTTATGCTCCGGACCATTTAAAGTCCGCGGCGGTTCCATAAACAAATTGTCGCCGGGCTCTCTAAATGGCCATGGCTCTCAGTGGCCACTGCTGCTGCCATGAAATTGAGCTGTAATTGAATTGCACTGCAGTCAGGAATACTGGGTCCCAGTGTTTTTTTTCTCTTTACTTATTTTTTGGCCATCTTGCAATTTATTGCACGACATTTCACAATTAAAACTCAACGACCCGCGAGCCACGTCATTAGTTTCGGCCGCAAACAAATATGGCCATGGTGTGTGTTTGTTACAAATTCAAACAATTTTACATTTGTTTTGGGCCCGTTGATAATTTGCTGACTGGGTGTGCAACAATGTTGCTATTGTGGCCAATGTTTGCCCAATCATTCCAGTCGGTGCAACACATTTTGGCAGAACACACTTCCACTTGCCCACCGAGGCGATTGATCCATAATTACCGAACTTGGCTAACGTTTTTGGGGCCAAAAATCCAATCCAAAGCCGAATCAGTCCGAAGACCGAGCCCAACAAGTATAAATATCATTGTCAAATGTGCTTTTAATTGATGTAGACAGGCTCCGAACACATTGGACAGCCAAGCTGGATACTTGAGTTGGTCGGACATTAGCAATAAAATATCTAATTGGCGGACCCCGATCCGCTGGTCCCCCGATCCCCACCTTTTTTGATTCCCTGGCAAAATGAAATTTCGCTTACAACCCAGACCAGCCCAGGTAATCGAGACTTTTGTTTAGTTTTTGTCGGTTTTCCGTTCGTGTGGCTTGTACCGGCTCTATAAGGCGTGATTTATGCCTTCCAACTGAAATTTATTTCGTTTTTAATGAGTAATTTACACAAAATTGCATTAATTTGGCGGCCAAAGCCCAGGCCCGCGACAAGTCATGGCAAATTTCTGACATTTCCTTGATTTATTTGATTAAGCACTGCTGAAGCGAACCAGATTTTTCTGTAATTGTTCAATTTGAATTGATTTCATTCTTTCGGGTATCTAGCCGCCCCAAGAAAGCGGGGCCAATTAACGCAAACATAGCCAAGTCGGAGCAAAACCTGGCCTGTTGCAACGATTTCCATATCCGAATGGAGTGCAAATAGTTACAGCCCCGGGGAGATGATTTAGTGTCCAGCCATCTAAGGCTCCTACATACTCGTATGTTCACGATAAGTATGTGTATCTGCGGGATACACATTTTAATTAATATGTACAAGCCTCACCTAATGAAGCCGCCGATCCGGACAGGCCGTCCAAGACGTGACCAACACGGCCGTCCGGTATTTTTGGTATTTTTACAACACCCCAGCTGCGGCCTTTAGTAGTCGGTGATAGACAGCATTTCCATAGCGAATGCGAAATGCTGGAAAATGGTGCGAATCCGAATTTGAACGCGAATGCGAATGCCATTGCAAGGTGGCTTACATTATATGGCCAAAACACCTAAGGCCATGATTTATAGGTTGTGGTAAATTAAGAAATTAAAATGCTTTTATGGACAACTCGCCGATTTGCAGCTCCTGATTTTGCGACCAAAGTCTGCCTAGTCCCCCATCCCCCTGCACTGTCACTCTGTCGAATTAATTGCCAAAATGTTTGATAAGATTATTTTTGTGCATAAGCCGCCCACGCCGCCACAACCTGCACCCCCATCTGCATCCTAGCCCCCCACAATATTTTCTTAATTAAAATTTTGGTTGCATGCTTGGCTCAAAATTGTGTTGCTCAAAAGGCAGCAAATTGTTGCCAGATATTAATGTGGCTTTGTAATTGGTTTTTCTCAAGTCCAAGTCACGTTAAGTCAATTAAGAGAAATGAATTTTCGTATATGAACGAATGGATGGATGGATGGCGATGCTGGTAGCAATGCCAGTTGCATAACACAACGCTATTGCAATAACAGGGAACTAGACACTGATTCAAATAAGCTTCTATAAATTACATTACTTATCTCTAAACTTCCTAGCATTTCTGTAAGTATTTCATTCTAAATATTACTATATTTTTCTTGCCCGGCAGGCAATGGGAATCAACGATTTATGAGCACCTTTCATAACACTTCATTAGTTACATTTTTGGTAGAATTTATAGCGCGATTGCAATAGAAAAACGTTTAACGAGCTTGTTCTGGCTCATGGGGAAACGCGGGGCAAAGCCAAGCCAAATTTGGCTTGTGGTGCCATCGGTGGTAACAAGTGCGTCTTCGCTTGCACTTGTCGTTGGTTGCAGTTTTGCCATCACAGGAACCAATTAAGTCCCAACATGCTCGAATATTTGGAGTTGCTAATGGAGCGTAAATGGTAATGTGATCCAAGGCTTTGCCACAAATATTTTCTTTAATTGTCGTTGCACAATTTGAAAAGGGGAATTCATTAAACTGTCTCTTATTTCATGGAATATATAATATATGTATAAATGAACAATTTAGAATAAGATGTACACCCTAAAATAAACAAAAACTGTGTTTTTTACTGCAAATTTCATAAAAATCTATCCACAAGGTACTCCGATCAAGAATCAGATGACTATTATCAAATATATGGCTTTCGGCGTGGGCCATATTCACCTCTCAAAAAATACAAAAAAATCTTAAAAATATTTCGTTCCTGGATATTGATGCAGATTGGTGGAGAATCGATTCACAAATCGTTCAAGGTATTCCGCTCAAGAATCAGATAACTATTGGCAAAGATATGGCTTTCGGGGTGGACCATATTGACCTCTCAAGCATTTCCCCCATTTTTGAAGGTCTCAACCCAGAAAAATAGACAAAAAATCTAAAAAATATTTTCTTCCTGGATTTTGATGCAGATTGATGGAGAATCGATTCACAAATCGTTTAAGGTACTCCGCTCAAGAATCAGATGACTATTGGCAAAGATATGGCTTTCGGTGTGGGCCATATTGACCTCTCAAGCATTTCCCCCATTTTTGAAGGGGCCCACCCAGAAAAATAGACAAAAAATCTAAAAAATATTTTCTTCCTGGATTTTGATGAAAATTGATGGAGAATCGATTCATTAATCGTTTAAGGTACTCCGCTCAAGAATCAGATGACTATTGGCAAAGATATGGTTTTCGGTGTGGGCCATATTGACCTCTCGAGCATTTCCCCCATTTTCGAAGGTGTCAGCTCAGAAAAATAGACAAAAAATCTAAAAAATATTTCTTTCCTGGATTTTGATACAGAATAATGGAGAATCGATTCACAAATCGTTAAAGGTATTCCGCTAAGAAATACATCGGATTTTTGCAAAGATTTGGCCTTTTTAAATGATTTCACACCCTATTACACTTTATTACAAAATTCATATAATTACGTATGCTATATTCGAAATATTATTCCAGGTAATCCGGTGTTCGATAATCATATTTTCATAATCGTTATCTCCGTTGCTTTGAATGTGATTGTGTGGGTCAGATTTGTTTTTCAAGCACAGAAGCATGGAAAGAAATTAAAATTGGTTGAACTGTCGGCGAGAGATGATGTTATCTGGATGGATTCCGCATCAGCTGCTGCTGCTCCTCCTCCTGGCGAGCGGTATGGTTCTCGAATCTGCGGCAGCCAGCTTTTGCACCAAGGCAGATCAGTGTGCTGTAGGTGAGGAGGTCAATCCCGCTACGAGTGTGGCCCAGGCGCGCTACGATCACACCCGGATCTACCAAGTGCAGCTAGCCAGCGAGGAACATGTGCGTCTCTTTCAAGCTTTGGAGTTGGCCAGCGACTCCTGTTCGTTCATGGGTCACGCCCGAGTTCCGGGCCAAAAGCTAACCATTATGGTAACGGGCTCTAAAGTGGCGGACTTCGACGACCTCGTACACAGCTACAACGTGACCCACCGCGTCCTGAACTACAACTTCCAGGCCCTGATCGATGCCAACTATCTAGAAGTGGCTCCTGAAAACACTCCCGCTGATCAGTTCGACTGGAAAAGGTATCATCCTCTGGAGAGCATATACAAGTGGCTGGAGCACTTGGCAGAACAGCATCCCTCGGTGGTTACTCTTGTAGATCTGGGCCCCAGCACTCAGGGATTGCCCATCAAAGGAGTGAGGCTTGCCTTCGGTCGCGAGAATATCCCTAGTGTTTTTGTGGAGAGCGGAATACATGCCCGGGAATGGATTGCTCCGGCGACAGCCACATATATTATATATCAACTTTTGAACTCGAAGGATTCAGAAATCCAGGAACTGGCCCGCTCCCAGAACTGGTTGATATTCCCCACTGTTAACCCCGATGGATACCGCTACACTTTCGTGGGAGATCGCATGTGGCGCAAAAATCGAGCCCTCTTTGGCATCTGCCGGGGAGTAGATCTGAACCGGAATTTCCCCTTCCACTGGAACGTGACCGGAGCTAGCGGGGATCCCTGTCGCTACGATTATTCCGGACCTTCAGCAGGCAGCGAAGTGGAAACCCAGCGGATAGTCCAGTACCTGGAGCAGCACGCTCAAGGCGATAGGATAAAAACGTTTATATCCCTGCACAGCTATTCTCAGATGATCATGTTTCCCTATGGACATACGCCGGAGCGCGTGGAGAACTACCAGGATCTGAAAGAGATGGGACAGTTGGCGGCTCAGCGAATCAAGGATGTCAGTGGACGGATCTACAAGAGCGGCAGCATCTACGAGACCATTTATCCCTCTAGTGGTGGATCCAAGGACTGGGCCCATGGTCATCTGAAGATTCCAATTACCTACTCGTACGAGCTGCGTGGTCCGGCGGAAAGCGAGGATCTGTTCATCTTGTCGGCCCGGGAGATCGAGCCCACGGCCAGCGAAGCCTTCGCCTCTCTCCAGACGATCGTGCAGGAGGCTGGCAAACGTGGCTATTACCACTGATCCGTTGCTCCTCCGGATCCAACGGCTGCAACCACCAACTTGGAGAGCACCATCTGATGATGATAAATGTCGTCTGGCCTGGCAGTTCACATGAAAAACACATTACGCGCCATCGTTTCTTAATGCTAAATAATGATGGCAAAATCATGACACAAAACTTCATAATAATGTTGGTAAATCAAAGCAAATATAGTCAGACTCGAACAACCTTACAAAAATAGTTGCAACTATTACATTTACGAGGCATTGTTATTGTTAACTTGCCACCCATTGGGGGTCCATTGGTTTTGTTGTCCGTCTGACAAATAATATATGATTTCAATTGGAATTACGGTAGTAAAAATCGAGGACCTCCTTTGCTATGTCCAAGAGATTTAACTATCCATTAAAAATTATACCATATATAACCTTGTAGAGTGAGAGTACCTAGCATACCTCCAAGCTGGTGATGGGGTTTCCAGGCTCTGTCAGAACTCAGCCTGGCAGCTGACAGGCAAGAACCTGCGCAGCCAGACAGACAGTCAGACAGACAATATGCATGTGGCATACAACAGCAACATCATGGTGCAACAGCAACAGCAACTAACAACGCGTTGCTGCCGACATTGCAGACTTGTTGACGGCAATTGTTGAGTTTTTGTTTTGGTTTTGGATCCGTTGTTATTGCTGGTTTTGTTGTGTAGGCCATTATAATATATAGTTAGTACGACAGGAGAGCTAATACCAGCACACATGCCAGACATTGGCCGGTTAATAATGTTGCTGGTGCTGCCAATGTTGCAGGCAGGGATCACCAGATGCCTGACGCTGCCAGGCTGATGTTGCTGGCGATATTGATGTTGCCATAATCACGATCTAATTTATTTACAAATTGTGTTGAAATCATACGTTCAAAGTCGTGTTTAAAAGGTTCTTTATGATTTATGCCAGCGTTGAAAATGCACTGCAGCAATACCAATAGCAAGAACAATTGCTGGTACGGCTGAGCAAAAAATTTCTCACAGTCGCCGATGGCCTAAAATTTGCTACGTCTGCTTTTATGTGCCACCTAATTGATTGGGCAAGTGGACCAAGTCACAGAGCCTGGTCGGCGGTGCATTAGAGCAACCACCAGGAACCGCTCAGAGTCGGCTAATTTAGATTTATGGCGCAAATCGCAACTTGATGCGTGATGCCGCGCCAGCTCCTCCTCTATTTTCTCCAAACACCACCACCACCACCTTCCACCTCCACCTGGGTGAGTGTTGCATGCGGCCATTTGTCATCGGGCGAGGATCGTGTACTGCAGCTGCGATTTCAGGCACGATGCCCCAACCACGTCGAGAAACCTCTTTCTCTTCGGCTTCGCTTGAAATCTTGCAAATGTTGATAAATTGAACGATTGTTGATCTTTAGGCTGCAATTGCCCGGAGCAGTGTCACTGTCCCAGCTCGAAAATAAACATATCAACGTGATAAATAAGAGGTCCATAAGCGAGCCGGGTTATCAGAAAACCGGACACTCATGTAACCAAAGGACAGCCTCATAAATCAACAGGCTCTTTTTCTTGAAAAAAAAAGAATTTAACAAAATGTGAGCCGTTTTAATCGCTGATTTCCGCTTCACAAGAAATGAAACTAAAGCCAAAATAAAGTAACACAAAGTAAGGCGGCAAAACGGGTTTGTGGACTCTCGGAACAATCACAACTTTGGGATTAACCCTCGCGCTCTACACTGCACTGCACAAAGGCGCTTCTCTGGATATGTTACTTATTGGTTGTGTTTATTGAATTATATGGATTGGGTTTTGTTTCTATTTCATTTTGTTTGTATTTGAGGGCAACTCTGCACTAGTCGCTCATTGGATGAACAGTAAAACTAGGTTTACAAAACTTTCGCCTCGGACAGATCGTCCAGGGGCTTGCTGGGTGGCGGGATCTTGTACTCCGTCTCGGGTGTCTCGTAGATCTTCTCCTCCTTGGGCTCCACCACGGACACGTTGTCGGGCAGCGGCTTCTTGGGGCCAATCTTGTTCTTGGGATCGTAGGGCAACATGATCTTGACCTTGATACCGAGCACACCCTGGCGCAGCAGGACGTGACGGGTGGCGGTCTCGACGTAGTCGTTGCACGGATCACCGGAGTGGATCATCAGGCCATCGACGAACTTCATCGACTTGGCACGCTGACCACGCAGCTTGCCGGACACGACGACCTCGCAGCCCTTGGCACCAGACTCCATGATGAAACGCAGCACACCGTAGCAGGCACGACGGACGGCCAATCCTCCGGTGAGCTTGTAACGCAGCGACTCAGCCTGGGCGATGGCGCACAGGCCACGGGTAGCGACCTTCTCGGCGTACAGCTCAATGCGGCCGGTCTCGAAGTTGAAACGCTTCTGGACCATGGCAGTCAGCTCGCGAATGCGACGACCCTTCTCGCCCAGGACTTGCTGGGTCTTGGTGGCCATGATGATGATCTCGGTGCGGGAAGGAGTCACACGCACCTCCACGCCGGAGTAGCCATCCTCAGCGAGCTCGCGGGTCAGGAACTCGTTCAGCTCGGCCTTGAAGATTCCGTCGGAGACGAACTGAAATCGAAACGGAAACCATTATTACCACCTATCCGGAGAACATATACCGGGTTTGTTATTATTTGCTTGTTGCCCAAATAGCTCCACGCTGCTCCATACGACTTTCGACGCCCTGTAGTTTGAGGTTAGTCCCGATAGGCAGCTAATTTTTCATTTTCCCGGCGTTTGTTTCACATAACTTCGAACATGTAATAACCGGCGGATGCGGTGGCTCATTTTAGCCATTTCCCAGGGCATTTTTCCCCAAATTACCTTGCGTTTCTTTGAAATTGGCAGGCTGGCGTTCATTTTGACGACTCGCACGGAAACGTGGTAAGCAGAAAAGAGGGAGCCAGACCTGCCAGAGTTGCCAGTTGAGCCAAAAGCGTTGCCACACGATGCAATTTCAAGCTGTTGCCAGACTTTACTCTGTTATCGATAGTTTCCTGAGTAAACTTTATTCTTATAAGAATTTGCCCGATGGAAACCCTAAACAATTTTTTCACACTGGATTTTATTTTTTAAAGTTCTTAATTATGTATATAGCTGCACCGCAGTCAAGTTTATTGTATTTATTTTCTACTTGTTACTACTTCTTTTTAATGATTGGTAGGTGCTTTTTATCCTGTCTTCCTTCAATGGATGCTAAAATGTTAATAATAATCATTGGAATATGTTTTATTTTTATGGTAACCATAGATTTTCTTTAAAACATCTCCAAAAAGTGTTTTAAACAGGTCTCTTCTGTTTTGTTTTTAAAGTTGTATTTTCGTAACAGCTGGTATAGCCCATCAGCTGTTATAGAAAGTTAACAGTTATCAGTATCCTAAGAAGAACTGCCAACTTGGTTAATGGAAATCAAGCCAAACCAGCTGAAATTTAATTTTCTCTTGTGTAGAGTTAAGCCAAAAATTTATATAATTGGCGCTTTAATTAAAATTAAAGAAATTCCATTTTATAGATGATTTCTCAGAAACTAATTAAGTGCGCTATAAATTATGATAATATAAATAGAAGTACCAGCGGAAAAGTACTTGAAATGGCATCTCTATCCACTAGGTGAATGGCAACTCTCTCGACCACAAAAGCAAAACAAAGCAAAGCAAACGCAATTGCGTCTCAAACGTTAGGATAAAACCAATTTAGATCGCTCTTGGAAATCAAAAATGTCGGAAATTAAGGCGTTGGAGCACGCCACCCTCAAGGTGCCATACGAGATGTTGAACAAGCGCTTCCGTTCTGCACAGAAGATCATCGACCGAGAGGTGGATCAAGTAACAAATGTCTCAAGGCAAGTGGAAAAGGCTCTGGAGGCGGAGGGTCCCATTCTGGCGGATGTGACCAAGCTGATGGGTAACGTGGCCCAGAAGCTGCAGGTACTGAAGCGCAAGGCCGAGGAGAGCATTGCTGACGAGTTGAGCGTGACACAGATTTGCAAACGCAAGCTAGAGCACCTCAAGGGCATAACGCCCCCGAACAGTGTGACTGGGGACCTCTGGCAGGGGTCGGTGGACCAGTGGAAGCGCATTCGCTTAGATCGCTTGGTCATCGAACACTTGCTGCGCATGGGCTACTATGAAACGGCCGAGGAGCTGGCTGCCAGATCGGATGTGCGTCACCTTACCAACCTGGACATCTTCCAGACTTCTCGCGAAGTGGAGGATGATTTGGCCAATCACAGCACCACTAAATGTGTCCTGTGGTGCATCGACAACAAGTCAAAGCTGCGTAAAATCAACTCAACCATTGAGTTCAGCCTGCGGGTGCAGGAGTTCATTGAGCTGGTGCGTCAGAATCAACGTTTTGAGGCGGTGAAGCACTCGCGACGCTACTTCCCCGCCTACGAGAAGACTCAGCTTAACGAGATCTGCCATGTCATGGCTCTCCTGGCGTACCCAGCCGACTCCGAGGTGGAACACTACCGCAAGTACATGGACCCCCAACGCTGGCAAAAGCTGGTGCTGGACTTCCGCCATGAGAACTACCGCCTCTTCCAACTATCGACCACCTCAGTCTTCTCGGCAGCCGTACAAGCCGGACTCTCGGCCCTGAAGACACCCCACTGCTACACCCAGACCTGCCGCAACCTTAACTGCCCTGTGTGCCAGGAGGATCTCAACCGTATCGCCCTCAAGCTGCCATATTCGCACTGTGTCCAGAGCAGGCTCATCTGCCGCGTGACGGGCTTGCCCCTCAACGAGCACAACCAGCCGATGATGCTGCCCAACGGTCAGATTTTCGGTCAGATGGCTTTGCCGGACATCACCAAAGACGACGGCACCGTGACCTGTCCGGTGACCAACACCAAGTTCTCTAACCCCAAGATCGAAAAGGTCTTTGTGATGTAAGGGGCCTGAGCTAAGAAATTCTCTGATGGTCGGTCACCCCGTAAATTAAGCAATGTCTACTTTATTTTTGAACATGTAACTCCATATCTATTGTGTACACCTATGACTTATACTATTACTATTAATATTATTATTGATAAGCAGCGCCGAGACCACGGTCGCCCTCAATTTGAATTCCGATTCCGATAGGTTTTCGGTTGACTTTTGGTGCTGCGCCGGCGCAGGTCTATTGATTGATTGAGTCCACCATCCATGGACTGGTGGCAGCGCAGTCAGTGCGTCGTGGTTGATTCTCGCGAACGGCGTAATTCGACTCCTCTGAAGAAGTGGCACACACTATGCACATCTAACACCACTCATATATTATATCAAATAAAGGTTAAATCGTATGAAATAAGCAGAAAGCTCGTCTTCTCAATTAGCAATTGGATTGTTTTCGTGCTCGGTGTGCTCATCATAGTCGTGAAAATTTACATCGAATCGGTGTGACGCCGTTGCAGTTCTAGGCGGAACAGCTGCGAGCAACAACAAACAAGCAGATCCAGCGGATACATAAACAAGAGCAGCTACCCGCTGCAACCCCTCGGAATCAAACCGAAAGCCAACCCACCACCACCGCCACCACACTATCGCCCGCACCACCCGAACAATAACAGCCCATCTGTAAACGAAAACCTCCGCCAATTATTATATTACTGTTTAAAATCCACGAAATCCACTAGGCAACATGGCACTGGACTTTGTGGCCACCTATAAGGTACTGGTGCTGGGCGACTCCAATGTGGGCAAGACCTGCATCGTCCACAGATACTGCGATGAGAAGTACTACGACACATACATCTCCACCATAGGTAAGTGGTCCAAAAACAACAGCAGTCATAATAGTAGTATTTTAAGAAAGATTTAATTGATTCTTTTAAAATTAAAATTAAAATAAATAGGGTTTATAATTATAATGTTGAATATTTTATTTAAATAATAAAAGTAAAAACTATAATATATTTTTGAAAATCTGTTTATAAGAACCTATCCTCGTAAAGCTAATTTTCAAGAGCTTAAATATTTTACAAAATTTAAAATTATAAATGCTATTTTTCTGCCAAAAACTGTATCTATGTATTTCCACCGATACATATATTCATGTCCGACACTATCTTCATCCCATTTTATCTCCGCACAGGCATAGATTTCAAGCAAAAACTGATTAACCTCGATGGGGTGCCCATAAAACTACAAATCTGGGACACGGCCGGCCAGGAGAGATTCCGGACACTGACTACGGCGTATTATCGCGGTGCGATGGGCATCCTGCTCATGTACGACGTGACCAACCTAGAGAGCTACAATAACCTGTCCTACTGGTTGCGCAACATCCAAGAGAACGCATCTCCGGACGTGGTCAAGGTGTTGGCGGGCAACAAATGCGAATGCTCGTCCACCCAGCGCATGGTGGACAAGGAGCGGGGCGAGAAGGTGAGTTGACACATCGTTAAGAATTCTAATTAACTCGGTTGGACCTGTTCCAGATTGCCGAAAACTTTGACATGCCCTTCTTCGAGGTCTCTTGCAAGTCAAACATCAATATTGAGGATGCGTTTCTTTCCCTGGCCCGCAAAATCCGCGAACAAAGGGAGAGGCGGGTGAGTTATAATGGTCTTTAAAAGAAACCTCTATCTAATACCTATGTACTCTCCAGGGTGATAACTTTGACAACGACGAGAGCAAAGACAAGAAATCGCCCGGCTCGAACGGCCTCGGCACCTTTAGTCTTGGGAGTCTTTCCGGCGAGAATCGCTGCACCTGCTAAATACTCATCGATGGATTACGATGTGATCGCAACCGCAAACCGAAACCGCAAAATAAACAGCAGACCTGAACCAGTTGTCCAAAGCCATTGAGCCAAGTTCGTGCTTAGATCACGTTTTAAATGCCAACCAGCAGTGGAGGGGCCCGCGGCATTGCACTCGATGGGAAGCGTTCAGAATGTGCATTTTAAGGTACACATAGTCCAAGAGAACATAGCATAAATATTTTAGCATATTCCTGCAAATACATAAAGGTCGATTATACATGCATATTGTCTCGATTCCAATAATTATAATCTTATGCTAAATACATTTATACTCGTAAGAAATTGAACCACGATTTTATGGATACAAGGCTGGTGTATGATGGTACTAGAGTTGGAGCTTACTCCGGGGCTTATTCAACAATAATTATATACACTTTCGATAATATTCAGAAATAATGTCTAGAAGTATAGGAGACTCACTCATCTGCTTCCTATCTCTATCTTGGAAAATTTTGATTTGCTTGTAAATCTGTAAAAATTGCGTTATTTTAATTAAATAAATTGAGTTTGTAAATTTAAAATTTGACCTAATTAGGCTTTTATTCCTACAGCTTATAGTATTCTGCTTATATCCTTGATTTTCTATCTCCATAAACCCTTAAATTGCTATTGATTGTCCTCTGCTCTAACTGCTTATGGTATTATCCTGCCACTGGGGCTGTCCAATTAGCAAATCCATTGATAACATTGGCTCAGACAGGTTCCCCCCACTCCCAACCACTGGCGCCTAGCAACCAGTTCTGACCACAACTTCGACTCAGACATGGCAAAGGACAATTATACAATAGACAGGACACGGTTCGATTTGGAACGGCGTAGTTGCAAGTTGTGTCTGTGCGCTGGAAGGAAGGAAATGAAGAAGTTCCGCGCCAAGGCGAGCTCCCTGCCCATTTTCAACGGTCGCATAACCGACGCCACCACACTGACTACCTCCTCGCTGCAGCTGCCGTTGGGCCAGGTCCCGCCGAGAAAGCCCTCCACCACCTGCACTCGGGTGTTGCCCACGGTTTTCACAATCACTGACGGTACCACTGGAGCGGCCAGCACCTCTCTGGCGGAGGCCATGTCCAGCAACAAGGCTCACGGGCCATCGTCCGGCAAGCAGGAGCACCTCCTGCAACTGGAAGTCCCCAGGGAGGAGGCCCTGGCTGTGGTGGGGCCCGAGTTGGCCAACTATGAAAAAGTGCGAGTGGTGGGACAGGGATCCTTTGGAATAGCCATCCTCTACCGTCGCAAATCCGACGGCCACCAGATAGTCTTTAAGCAGATAAATCTCAGTGAACTCACTCCTCCTGGCAGGGATCTGGCCATGAATGAGGTGGATGTGTTCTCAAAGCTGCATCATCCAAATATAGTGAGTTATCTGGGAAGCTTCATCAAGGACAATACTCTGCTCATTGAAATGGAGTACGCGGATGGAGGCACTCTGGCCCACATCATAGCCGAGCGTCAGGGCAAGGTGCACTTTCCGGAGAGGTACATCATCGCGGTTTTTGAACAGATTTCCAGTGCCATTAATTATATGCACTCCGAGAATATCCTACATCGGTAACATATCTATTTTTTTTAAGGTTTGGATTTAGTTTTAAATATTTCACAATTTTTATCAGAGATCTTAAAACAGCGAATGTATTCTTGAACCGACGTGGCATCGTGAAGATTGGGGACTTTGGAATTTCCAAGATAATGAATACGAAAATCCATGCCCAGACTGTGCTAGGTACTCCCTACTACTTCAGCCCGGAGATGGTAACTTTTTTGGAACAGAAACTCCCTTGGATTAGCTTTAAGACCCCTTTCCTCTTTAAATTTTAGTGCGAGGGAAAGGAGTACGACAACAAGAGCGATATATGGGCTCTGGGTTGCATCCTGGGTGAAATGTGCTGTCTGAAGAAAACATTCGCCGCATCCAATCTCTCCGAGCTGGTCACCAAAATAATGGCGGGAAACTACACACCCGTGCCTTCGGGTTACACTTCCGGACTACGCAGTCTCATGTCCAATCTGCTCCAAGTAGAAGCTGCTCGGAGACCCACAGCCTCGGAGGTGTTGGTCTATTGGATTCCATTGATATTCCGAAGTTTGGGAAAGAACAAGGGGTGAGTGAATGAAGGAAGATATCCTAACCAGAAAGGACTTTTAAGGAATCCTTTTTTTAGATATTCCTACGAGGAAGACGTTAGTGGCGCTAGTGGAAATCTCCTGGCGGCTACTGCACCCGGCGCCGTCCACAGCAGTGTGTCCTTGGAGCTGGAACTGCCCACAGCCCAGACCGAAACGAAGCAGCTGATGAGCGCAGACACTGCCGCGCCTCATGAGATCCTTGAAAAACGGTAAACGATCCTTGGAAGTGATGTAGAAAACCCTAATCCCTATGCCCTCCTCAGATCCGTCCTCTACCAACTGAAAGCCTTTGGAACCAGCTTTAGCATGGCACCCATCCAGCTGCCTCCTAAAGCTGTCATCGTGGATGTGGCCATGTCCGACTCTCATTTCGTGGTGGTCAACGAGGACGGATCGGCCTATGCCTGGGGAGAAGGTACCCACGGTCAGCTGGGGCTCACCGCTCTGGAGGCTTGGAAGCACTACCCCAGTCGCATGGAGAGCGTTCGCAACTACCACATTATTGGAGCCTGTGCGGGTGATGGCTTCACCATCCTGGTCACCCAGGCGGGCAGCTTACTCAGCTGCGGCAGCAACGCCAATCTGGCCTTGGGCCACGATGAGCAACGCAACTACCACAACCCCAAGCTAGTGGAACGTCTGGCGGATGTGCGGGTGGAGCAAGTAGCTGCCGGGTTGCATCATGTCCTGGCGCTTAGTCGCGAAGGAGCTGTGTATGTGTGGGGCACAAGCTTGTACGGAGCTCTGGGACTAGGAAACTACCAGCAGCAACAGTAAGTATATCTTTATAATTCCGTAATTGGATGTAGGATGATTTGAATCTATAATTCCTTCCGGAAGAAAATTCCCACAAAAGATCCTACTCTCCCACGTGAAGACCAAGCCATCCAAAATATTTTGTGGGCCGGACACATCCGCCGTATTATTCACCAACGGAGAGATTCACGTTTGTGGCTGCAATGACTATAACAAGTTGGGTTTCCAAAGAGCAGGAAAGATAACAGCCTTTGTGGGTTCTAGTTTCCCAAAACCCGTAGAGTTAATGATTAAGAATCCTCTTCCTTATAGAAAAAGGTGCAATTGCCACACAAGGTCATCGAAGCCTGCTTCTCGTCCACCCATTCAGTGTTCCTGGTGGAGGGCGGATATGTCTACACCATGGGCCGAAATGCGGAAGGGCAGCGCGGGATAAGGCACTGCAATGCGGTGGACAATCCCACCATGGTGGACTCCATCAAAGCCCGCTATATTGTGGTCTGTAATGTGAATAGTCTCTAAATTAGTAACAGTAACTAAAATAGTTAGTAATTATTATTTAGAAAGCAAACTGCAACGATCAGTGCACCATTGTTGCCTCGGAGGACAATATCATCACCGTGTGGGGCACTCGCAATGGTTTGCCTGGGATTGGTTCCACCAACAGTGCTTTGGGGCAGGAGATCTTCACCCACAGTACCGAACTGGAGCTGGGTAACAATACGGCGGCGTTCACCAACTTCCTGGCCTCCGTTTACAAGTCGGAGCTGATACTGGAACCTGTGGATATACTGGCGTAAGTGATGTACTCCTCCCAGACTCTTCTTTCAAAATAAATCTCTCGTAGTTTGTACTCATCCAAGGAGCAGTGCGACCGTGGTTACTACGTTCAGGTCCATGATGTTTATCCCTTGGCCCACAGTGTCCTCGTTCTGGTGGACACCACCACACCTCTTATCGCCTCCTACGAGGGAGAGTGCCCCCAAGCATAGCTTCAATAAATGAGATTTTGGTTACTTCTTGTCATATATGTATGTTGTATTATTAGTAATACATTTATTGGATTCAAAATGTAATTGTAGAATCTTAAGCTACAACTAAAACGATCTAAAATAGAAAGTAGCGTCTAAACGCGCTTTTTGGGAAAGGTCTATCAGTATCAGTATCAGTAGGGTTGGGTGTGGTGCTTCGGGGTATATAATTGTTATGTTAAGATGCGTTAGTTCTTGTTGGCTGGAGCTGGGGGTGAAATGCACGATCCTAGTAGCGGGAAACCTGACCACCATAGCGGTCTTGCGCAGGCCGGCTACCGCCGTACATACCACCGGCGCCACCGGTTCCACTGTTGCCTTGGTAGCCGCTAGAGCGATCGTTGTAGCCGCGATCGAAACGACCTTGGGCCTGCACCTGACGCCAGCTATTGTCGTCGACGGCGGTGGACTTCTGCCACGAATTGTTGCTATGCATGTTCGAGGATATGCCGTTGTTGCCGTAGGACTTCATTGCGTTTCCGCCACCACCGCCGCCGCTGCTGCCCAGGTGGGAGCTGCCGCTGCCGCCGCCGGAGGAAGGTGCCCAAATGTTGACGTTGTTGGCGTTGCTGCTGTAGCCACCCCCGCCGCCGCTGCTGGAATTCTCATAGCGCTTGTTTCCCCTAAAATTGATGGACAAAGATGGTATTACAATTCATTTCAAAAGACTTACAATTAAAATCTGATCGATGATAGATCCAAACAGAACACAAATTAATTAAATTTAGGATAATTTTATTAGTTTTTTTTAGTTTTATAAAATAAAAGCGTGAACTGGTGTTAGATTATAAATGAAAAATGAAAATAAGGATAAGGAAATGAGTGTAGCTTGTTTCATGGATAGAATCTTGCACTTACAGGCTGTGGGAGTCGTCGCGTCGGTAGTTGGAGTTGCCGCGGTCGGATTCGTTGTAACGCCCACCACTGCCTCCGCCGCTGGTGTTGTTCTTGTGGACATAGGATCCGGCTCCGCCACCCGAGTTGTTCTTGTGTATGTAAGAGCTGCTGGAGCCACCGGCTGTGCCACCCAGTGGAATATGACGAACCTCAACCTCCCGTTTGTAGTCGTCGCGCTTGCTGGACGAGGAGTAGTCATGCTTAGAGCTGGAACCGCTGTAATCGTTGCCACTGGAACGCTTGTTGGGCACGTTGGAGTAATCGTCCACAGCTCCGCGCTTAGAGCCGGAGGAACTTCCGTAGTCGTTACGCTTGTTGCCGTAGTCCAGGCGCTTGTTTGAGCTGGAATAGTCATCCAAACCGCGCTTGGAGGATGACGATGAGCCGTAGTCATCGTGCTTCTTATCGTAGGTGCTGGAATAAAAGAAATCTCATTCATGAATGGTTCAGGATTGGTTCAGCTAGAAACCCACCTGCGAGAGCTGACTAGATTGGCATCAAATCTTGGTGGCGGTGGAGCTTCAAAAATAGCTGTACGCTTGCGGTCAGATACGTCTCCGTAGCGGTCATCGGAGCGTTTGGTTACGCCGCGCTTGCCAGTATCATCGCGGGACTCCATAATCCTGTTCGGGTGATTCGACAAGAGCGAAAGGAAGAGAGATGGAAGAGAAAGGGGATTCGGTTAGTTTGAACTGGAAGTGGGAACAGGCACACTAAGAGGGTAGTAGGGGCCTCACAGCGAGACTATACTAGGATGCATTTGCCTATCAACGTTCCGTTTTGAAGCAGTTTTGGTTGAAGAAACAACGTGGAGGCTGCAACTTAACACACTAATTACACGGACAAATGCTTATCGAAAATTACAAAATAAATGTATATATATATATAGAGAATAGGTATATATCAGTGGTGTTTGACCGCCAAACGGTTTTCATTGTTTTGTTTTTGTTAGCATACTTCATCTGTTGCCGCTTGAGTTCAAGGCGCTCCAGTTCGATTTTCTCGCGTTCCAGCTTCTGGCGCTCCCGCTCCATGCGCAGCAGCTCGGCCTTCTCGCGTTCGAGCCGCTCCCGCTCGATGGCCAGCTTACGGCGCTCTTCGGCCAGACGCTCCTCCTCAAGGCGCTGGCGATCGCGAGCCTCCCGCCGCCTGCGCTCCTCCTCGCGCAGCTCGCGTTCCCTCTCCCTCAGACGCTGGCGCTCGCGTTCCTCCCGGATCTTCTGGTAGGAGAGCATCTCGCGTTGGCGGCGCTCGCGCACCCGCTGCCGCTGCTGGATCTCGCGATCCACGTCACGGGGATTACGCCCGTTGACACGATTGTGGCCAGACCGCTCGCGATCGTGGCGCTGCCTGTCCTGACTGACGGCAGACTTGTCCCGCTTGCTGCGATCCCGGCTGCTGCCGCCCTCCTTGCCGTCACGCTTGGAGTCGCCACTATTGGACTTGTCGTCGCCGCCGACGCCTGCACCGCTGCTTCCATCGCCGCCCTTCTTGTCTTCGCCGCCAGAGTTAGAGCTGGCGCCCTTGTTGCTGCTGGACTTCTCATCCTTCTTCTTGCTGGTGGAGTCCCCTTGAGCCTTGCCCTTGCCATCCTTGGTGGTGGAGCTTCCGCCAATCTCGTTCTTGGTGCGCTCCACTGAAATGATACGTCCGTGCAGCTCGGTACGATGCAAGTTATCGATGCAGCGCGAGGCATCACCAGAGGAGGACATGGTCACGTATCCGTAGCACCGGGTACCCGGAGTGCGAGTGTTGGTGACCACCTTGGCGCCGATCACCTTGCCGAACTTGGAGAAGATCGTCTTCAGATCGCTGGCCCGCGTCAAAGTGGACAAGCCGGAGACCCACAGATTGCGTGACAGCGTCGACTGCTTATTGCTGTTGCTTGTGGTGGAGGAGGTGGCCCCGCCACCAGTGCCTTCATTCGATCCTGAGCCCGAACCCGAACCGGATCCGGACTTGCTGCCGGTGGCGCTCGATGAGGCACCAACTGCTGCTGCTGTCGATGATTTTTCTGCAAGTTCCATGTAAATAATAATATTGGAAGAGAGTTATGGTCAGAGCATTGAGTGGCTGTAACTGGTTAACTGTTTTGGTTTTATGATACGATCTTTAAGGGAAGCATGTTGTGAACGCACACATTCTGTAGCTGCTGCTGATGTTGGAGTTTAGAACGAAACGAAATCGCAAGAAATTACCGACAAACGACAAAACGTCACCTAACGCGGCAAAGAGAGTGTGAATTTGATTGAGTTCCTCCTGCCGGATGTCCTTGATTTCGGGTAGAGGGATCCAGGAAGTAGGAAGATAAGGAAAGGGTTCATCCGGGATTCAGATCGAGGGCACATCATCATATTCCATCCCGGGTTGAAGAACTCGTTCCTCGAAGTCTGGCACGTCTCTAGTTCCATATTGTTGATGCGAGGGAATTCCAGTAGAAACCCTGAGAGGCTCAGGTTCTAGGTTGGAGGTTCTTGGTTTCTTCCAGTTATTCTAGTAGTTTATATTTTTGATTCTTAAACTAGACTTTGGTTTGATTAAGGGCCATCGTATTTTCATAAAAGAAACAATGGTCCCTGCAGTCCGCATTTTTTCTCGCAAATGAGTAATCATTTTCACCCATCGCTCCAGCAATCCAGAGGTGGGATGAGAAGTTTTCGAAACCTTTTCCACCGAAGCAAGTGCGAAATAAACTTCTTTCGAAGGTTTCATTTCAGAGTCCATCGACGCCCAGTCGCTCAACGCTTCCTCGATGACAGCAAGCAAGTCCCACGTCCAAGTCCATGTCCCAACCAAATTCACACTCTCTTGCTAGGTATATAGCACAGGTCCTAATAGATTTCTTTCGAGATATTCAAGTTCATCGATCTTAGTCGTGATCATGCTTAGACCGAACACTCCTAACGCAAAACCTTTCGAACAAACCGAACTTATCCATGCTTTAATTGTAACATAAATTACCTTTGTCATCCTTTGGGTTTGACGATTTTCCAGATGATTTTGAATCGCTGTTGTGAATGAATTGGTGTTAGGAATATATCTCAAGCATTTTAAGTAACTAAATACCTGGCATCACGTTTGTCAGATGATTTTTCATCCTTTTTCTTATCACTCTTCTTGTCTGCGTCCTTGGAACTGGACTTGTCCGACTTGATAGCGAGCTTAGCTGAAAACGATTATTGTGATATTAAGATTAATATTATAGAAATAATCATAACTATCTATATGTTCTAACAGTATCGTAGTACAGTCAAACTCACCCGATTTAATAGACTTGTCGTCGGGTGCCTGCAAATTAGGTAAATTGGATCAGAATGCATCAATTAATGAAATGCGGGGCGGTCTAAATTACCTCATCGTGAAGCAGTTTCTGTTCGTCCTCACCAATTGTTAGGTTGATGGACTCGTCATTGTCCATGTTTACGGTATCACCGGTATTCTCCTCCTCTCCCTGTATCCCATCGTTGCCATTATTCTCGGCCTCATCCTGGGCCTCGCCCTCTCCCTCGCCCACGCCCTGTCCATCACCATTCTGATTCTCTTCGTCGAATTCCTCTTCGTCTTCTTCATCGTCATCATCGAGAATCACACAAACATCGTCAACATCGCCCACCTGGTCGATCTCATGACCATCTTCATCGGCGTGATGGGCGAACTCGCTGCCATTCTCGTAGTCATCCCCCTGCTCAGTCTGTTCTTCCTCGTCGAGAGGCTCCTCCTTAATCTGAATTTCTTCCAAAGGCTCTTTGATGGGCATTGGAAGCGGCTTCTTGCCTTTAGCACCAATAGTAATTAGATGAGTTGCCGGGTCGTGCCCCTCCTCTTTTAAAGCCTGAAAAGTTACGTGTCAGATATAAGAAGGGCGAAAAAGCTACCAACTTTAGCGGATTTTCATCGAGAACAGGGATTAACTGAAGCGTGAGACCGGGTGCTAGTGCACTCACCTTTTCTAGACGGTCGATGAGGGCCGCCTTCGGGCCCACCGTCTCCAGCTTGCGTTTTTCCAACTCTTCTTTCAAGTCGCACACGCGCAACTCGCTGATTTTCTTGCCTATTTCGGGCATTTTCAATTTATCAGTTCACTGGGTCAGTATTAAGATATTTAAAAATCACTTGCACGCCTCGAAAACCGGGGAAATTTGTCTTTAATAAAATTTTCTCAGATCGTCGGGCAACGTGTGAAAAATCGCTTGTCAAATAGTCAGACGAACTTATACATACACGAATAGGGTTGTCGACTGACTTGAGAAAACCGATAAGTTTTGAAAATGGCGACGATAGAAATTTATTCCGCCTACTAGTTCTCTCACAAAATATTTTAAGACTCTGGGTTTTATAATAAATGAATGTAATACTAGAATTTTAAAACTTTTAAAAGTTTAAAACTTCTTATGAAATAAATCAAGTTTAAGAATAGAAGCTCTATTCTGGGGAAAATGTTAGATATATAAGTTGCCAGCAATATAATTTATAAAATGAAGAAATTAAATAACACAAGAAACCCAGTTTTAAAACAATTTACAACATTTTATCTGAGTCCAAACCTATTATCCAAACCTTTGGATAATAGTAATAATAATAATAATAATAATAATAGTAATAATGATAATTGTTACTATAATGCTTGTATTCTAGATATGATTTTTATCCATTTTTACTATAATTTAGATTTTAGAATTTGTATTATATAATATATTTTTAAAACAAATATATTTAATAGATTAAAGGAATTTTGTGGAAACTGGAACTGATAATTAATATGGAATTCCACTGCTGGAACCAGAAGATTATAAATACCTTTTATAAGATTTTATTTATTTTTTTATATTAAGACTATTGAGAAAATGTTAAAACCTTTGGATAATAGTACAAGTATTTCGGAATTTGTAAGGCATTGTTACTAACGATAAAGAAAATTAGTGTATTATTTCTTATATTCTAGATTATTTTTAAATCTATTTTTAATAAAACAATTTATACTTGAATAAATACTAGAACACTAATAATAATACTAATTCCTTGTACTATAATTCATATTGAGTAATATAAATTTATATCACATTTATAATAATTAAAACGAATTTTTTTAAATTGGAACTGATAGTTAATATTGAGTTCCAGTGTAGGAACTAAAATATTATAAAAACCCTTTACCAACACTGGAACCGGCGCATTGTTTTGTGTTTATGTGCCATTTTAGTGGATTTCGAAGAATCTGTGGGATTTCACCATGTCCGTGGTGATTGAGACCACTCTCGGCGACCTTACGGTTGACCTGTTTACCAGCGAGCGGCCCGTGGCCTGCATGAACTTCCTGAAGCTGTGCAAGCTAAAGTACTACAACTTTAACCTCTTCCACACAGTTCAGCAAGGTTTCATAGCGCAAACCGGCGATCCAAGCGGCGCCGGCGATGGCGGGTCTTCCATTTGGGGAGTGGTGGAGGGGCCACAAAAGCGCTTCTTCGAGGCGGAGTCTCTGCCGCGGATCTATCACTCCAGTCCTGGAATGCTGTCGTTGGTTAGTGCCGGCAAGAGCTTGGTGGGCTCTCAGTTCTTCTTTACGCTGGGCGAGAACCTGACGTCGTTGGACGGTGCCCACTGCGTCATCGGTGAGGTTGTGGAGGGGCACGAGGTCCTGAGAAAGCTAAACGATGCTATTGTGGACGAAAGCTTTCGCCCTTACCAGGACATTCGCATCACCCACACTGTGGTGCTGGAGGATCCGTTCCCAAACCCACGCGGCCTGCAACCTCCTAATCGATCTCCATCGCCGAATCCCGAACGGCTGAAGAACGGTCGCATTGCTGCCGATGAAGATATTGATGACACTGGTGGCAGGACCATGGAGGAGATGCAGGAATTGCTTGCCGAGCGAGAGGCCAAGGCACGCGCCACTATCCTTGAGATTGTGGGCGATTTGCCGGATGCGGACATGGCTCCACCAGAAAACGTGCTCTTTGTGTGTAAACTTAATCCAGTTACCACGGATGACGATCTGGAAATTATCTTCAGCCGCTTTGGAGTGGTTAAGGGTTGCGAGGTGATCCGCGACCGCAAGACAGGCGACTCTTTGCAGTACGCCTTTGTGGAGTTTGAGGACCAGAAGTCTTGCGAGGCTGCCTACTTTAAAATGGACAATGTTTTGATTGACGACCGCCGTATTCATGTGGATTTCTCGCAGTCCGTCTCTAAAGTAACCTGGAGGGGCAAAGGACGTGGCGTGGTAGGAGACGATGGCAAACTGGATTTTGACAATTTGCGGGACAATAACGACCGTAAAACTCACAATAATGGCAGAGGAAGATCCGATAATCATAGGGACTCCAAGAAGCAGGAGGATCCAAGAAGTAGAATGAGTTCGGCGGAGCGACGCAAGGCGAGAAAGCAGCGGCATCTGGAGCAGAAGCAGCAAGATGATCGTAATCACACACGAAGACGATCAAGATCCAGAGATCGGCGACGATCTACATCCAGAAATCCTAGGGATTTCAATGATAGAAGACAGAACACTCATCAGGAGCAAAGGAATCGTCGTCGTTCCAATTCTAGAGATCGAAATGATAGAATACCTTCATGGTCAAGAAACAATACAGAGAGGAGACGTTCCCGCTCAAGGGATCGAATAGAAAGACGTCCTAGGTCCAACGATAGAACCGAACAAAGGCCCTACCGAGCTAGAGATGACCGGCAGGATAGGTTTCCTCAAGATAGAAGACGACATGAAAATGAAGGGAGACAGCCCAATAAATACCGAGATAAATCCCCGGAATCAAGGTATAGTTCAAGAATATACCTTTCTAGCTTTGGTTATTAATTAAATCCATATTTTTCCAGGCACCAAACTAGACGTCAAGAGTCCAGGGAACGGGAGAATGGGAAAAACTCAAATCGAAACCGGAGCCCTGAACGAAAACGAAAGGTTTCCGAGTCGGTGGAAAGGAGAAGTAAGAAGTCAAAACGAGCAGCCAGCAGCAGTTCAGAATCCAGCGAAAGTTCCTCGGAATCGGATCCCACGTCCTCAGATAGTTCAGAAGATAGCTCCAGCAGTTCCTCCTCCGATGAGCGTAGGAAGCGCAAAAAGTCAAAAAAGTCCAAACAGAAAAAGTCGAAATCCAGCAAACACAAATCGAAAAAGAAGCATCATAGAAAATAAAAATGAACACCATTCTTCAACGATAAATTTTTACTATAACTAAATATTTATAAAGTTCTATTTCTTTCGCGCCTCGACTTCAGCTTCCAGAGCTGCCATTGCTGCTCCCCCACAGCAGCCCTCCGAGTTTTTGGCGCCAGCTCGTCTTCTAGGTTTCTCTATAATCGCATCTGGATTGAATACCACGTTATCCAGTCGAGTCGTCTCCGGCGTGATGCGAAGTTCTGTAAAATAAGGAAACAGTTGTATGTTTGGAGAGCGTTTGGGTTTATATAATCCCCTACTGACCATAAACATTATCCGCCTTCTTCTCAGCCTGGATCACATTTGTGCGCAACTCGTGGTCCACATCTTGTGCCAACTTGATCATCTGCCGATTGTATAATGTATAAGGATTAAGGATAATCACATATTTACTCAATGTTTACCTTTTGAATCTCATCCTCGTTGGTTTCGCCGCGATTTTGGAGGAACGATTCATTGATTTTGAGGCGCCCCGCCGTCAGTGCTTTTACATCGCCTTGAAATACATACTGTCGCGTCCGATGGAGCTTCTTGAAGGCACTAAGTACCTAAAATAATAAGTTTAAGCTTGTATATTTATAATTTAAAGTGGAAATTACCTGGCGCCGCAAATTGGACATGGTAACAGATGATACACAGAGTGTGACCAGCCCAAACAATGGCGAAAATGCTTGCGAAGGAGAGGCGTTTTTCGAGAATTATTAAAAAAGGTAGAGTGGCACCATTAGCTCAAAATAAAGCAGATTTTTTTACGAAGCGGACGCGGCGCGCATAAATATTGCAAGAATTTACAAGCCTACGGGCAAATCGGGACTGAGGAACGAAATGCGGCTGCAATTAGTTGTCAAAATTGTGTAATGGTGGTGTACGGTCGGCCCGCAACTATTTTAATTCAGAACGAAGCGCAGAACAACATCTTGCTACCGTGAGGGAAGGAGAAGTGAAATTCAGGAATTAACCAAAGGAATTTATAGGCCTAGAAAGAACTGCCCTGCCTGCCAGTCAGTGTTTAAAATTTCAAGCGTGCATGCATTAGTTTAGAACTGGGATTGGGACGCGAGGAGAGGAAACGGCCAACAAGCTGGCTACTAGTGATAAATTGTCCTCGTTCTTCGGGGCAATGGACGAGGAGGAGGAGGAGGAAGTCACCGATCTGAAGCTGCAATTGTTCCACAATACAGTACGCGAGCACATTGTAAGTAATCCACCCAGTAACTAACCCAAAAAATCTCAGTTACGGCGTCACCTTCATCCCCTTCAGCCCAACAATAACAAAAGTGAAACAGGAGCAGCAGCTGCGTCTGATTGTTGTTTTCCTAACTGTACCAACTGTGTCTCAGGGGGGAGAGGGTGTCTGTGTGCCATACACACACACACACATATACACACTATTGTGATAAACAGAAATCATTTGGTATGTCCGAGCCAGCCCATGTACACAGCAATATTTATTTGTTTATGGTCTGTTATCACAACCAGAATCGGAGCCAGCACTTTCAGCGCCTGCGTCGGTTCGATTTGTGTATGAAAGCCATATTATCGGGAGAGGAAGTGGTACCAGAGATAGCAGTCTACACTCTCTTGCACTTTCTATTCGGGGCTGCAAAAATTATCACCCATACAGCCAGAGATGCCCATCCTCTAGCCAATACCCACACAGACACCTGTTGTTAATCTCAGAAATCATAATCGAAGATGCGACTTGAAGATACTTTGGAAAGGGTATACTGTAATATCTTGTTAGAGTATTATTATCAGCCACTCACCTATCTTTTATCTGTATCTTTTAGATCCGATTTCCTAGAAAACTCAACCTGCCAGAACATGCATAACAAATCGACATTTAATGCCTTCAAAATAAACTTAAGGGGTTATATACAGTTGTGATATATGAAAAAATCGATTTTTTTTTTATTGCATATTCTTTAAGTATATTCTAGTGGGAATACTCTCACAAAAATTCATAACGATCGGAACATTAGAACCGAAGCTGTAGCTATTTATAGCGCACTATCTGCATATAAAACTTAAACAAACTTGAAACTTTAAACGCGATTATCTCAGAATCTTTTTTTTGGGAAATTGCCTTTGCGGTGGACACGATTACTAAAAAACTACTAATCCGATCAACACCAAATTTTGACCACTTATTTATTATGATATTAGCTAGTCCGCGAACGAGGGATTTTCAATTTTTTTGAAAACTCCTTTTTTAAAGCACAAAAAACGAAAATCTTAGACGTTGAAAAAGTACATTTTTTGTTAAAAACGTCGCCATTTTTTTTGTAATCAAAATTTTTAAAAATCCCTCGTTCACGGACTAGACAATACAATATACTAACTACACTTTTTTGAATTTTGGATTTCGGATGAACCGTTTTCGAGAAATCATGTCCACCGCAAGACACCATCGAAAAAAGACGATCCGAGAATCCGTCTATAACATTTTTGTTATGTAATATTTTTTTATGAAAAAATTTAATTAAGTACCCAGAAACATGTACTAAACAACTTCGGTAAAACATTTTTCATAAATATTTTCTATGGTGTCAAAAAAAATCGATAAAAATCCATATTTTTGCGTGGTACAACTGTATATAACCCCTTAAATTCAAACAAAGGCAACAAGTGAAAGTGTTCCCCCCGAGCGGCTATTTATAGAAACTTTTGGGCGTGTAACAGCTAAAAGATATACATTTTAGTACCTAAAACAATCTGCAGGTTATAGATGCAAACTTGTTTATTGCGCAAACCACTAATTTCCTTTTTTTTTCTTCAAAAGCAGACCGAATTTCAAGTGCACGGCTTGTGGTCACGATTTTTCTTCTGCCACTGTCTGCGACTTTGAAAGTGGGGTCTGCTGTCGTGACCGGCTGTTGGTTGTTGTTGAAATATTCGCAGACAAGGCGTTAAATACATTTGAAATTGTTTGAATAAGCACGAGAAGGGGGTCTGGGCTTCTCCGCTACGATTCTACCACACATGTTTCGTTTAATGGTGGTTCTGGCCCAACCAGAAGTCCAGGAAATGAAAACCGGTTTGTGTGGCTGTGGTTCTGGTTGCATCGCATTGCCGAAAATTGAATAATTCCCTCCGAATGTGGGTCACACAGCTCGACTACGTGACATGGGCGCCGCCCAATGCGAATCCAAATAAATGTAAACATGCCAAACGCCTCATAAATAATGCAGGAATCTAAGGTCCAGTCCACTAATGCTGACTACTGCTTCTTGGGCGGTTCTCTGGTGATAAAAAAAATAATCATTTCCCAGAACAACTTGTGGATACACAGCTACCTGATGTGCAGTTTGGAATTTCTCAATTTCAAAACACATTTCACTTAAAGTAATTAAAGCTGCAGATGCGAGGCGAACCATGGGGGTCTCAGAAGAGTACTATACTCTTACTTGTTGAAATATTGCAGCCCATTCACCGGCAAACTTGATAAAAAAAACCCGTCTGACAACCAAGGCCCACGATGTCGCCTCTTTCTGGCTGCATTTTGGCGTATCGGCTATTTATAGCCAACATTTAATGGGCGTGTTGTCTTGCGGGCGAGTTCATGTCAAGTCATTGACTCCCCTACGCCTACGATCCGAAATGCAGCCAGTTTAGAGTTTAGAGGCCCGAGAGCTTCGACCAAATCTCCCGGAGCGTGACTCTACAATGAACTTGTACATGGGTTTAGCTGATAAGCGTTGCAGCTCACAGGGGTTTTAATTTTTTATTCAGGAATGCTTTCTATATGGCACACGATGCGCATATCAGTCGGTAGTTGTCGCCGACGTGTTCCAAGTTCACTATCAACACGTCACAGTCTATATATATATAGAGAACAGTGCGTTTTACAACTATAAGATGTCGGGTAATCCCACAAAACTCATTTAGTAACCAACTTTATTTGAAGAAAATGGTTTGTTCTTTATCTTTGAGCTCTGAACCATATTGTATATGAGTTCCACCCTGCTCTATACTTGGATTCTATAAATAAACGACACAAACTGTTGATAGCCAGCGATTTGCGTCTCTGTTTATTTATTTTTTAATATTTGAGCATATTTTTTGGTCGAAAAGGCCAAGGAAACTGTTCAAATATTGCCCGAAGTGATGTATCTGAAGGCTGCTCCATATGGATTGAGTTCTAAAATAAGAGTTCTGCAAATAATTGAAGATTTAATTGATTTAATTGATCTGATGGACTCGGCTCTCTAGAACGCACTGTATCTCACAGATACCACTACAAGTATCTCAACTAACAAAGAATAACAAACAATGGCGATGGGTTTGATTGTTTTCTAAGCTTTTTTCTAGTCACTACACGAAAAGTATCTTTGTTAATGATTTATTTATGTGGCTAGGCATTCGTATATGTGTCTATCTATCTATTAATGTTTTGTTTTGTTTTCGTTTTTCGGCGCAAATATATGACGTGTGCCAGATGATTGGCATCAACTTTTTGGCCAAAAAAAACGATTCATGACCAAAAGTCAGTTGCTCCAAAATGCTGATGGAAGATTTAGACATGAATGGAGGGGCGGATAATGACATTCAATTGGCTTTATACGGCCGTAATCGGTCTAGTTCTTATCAGGTGTTTCGCTCTTGTCGTCGGCCACTGATAAGCATAATTTCTGACCTTTGTAACCGAAAAAAGGCAGCTCGATTAGTCTCATAACCGGCAATTATTCATCAAATTTTAGTTATCAATCTTAGTATTAAGTTATTAGAAGGAAAAGACATCTTCAAATACATTTTTTTGAAGCTATTTTAAGAAAATACTGAACCGGAAATTGGAAATAGAACCCCTGTGCCAATACCTGCTATGATAAGACCCTGAACTACCACTTGAAACCCTTCAAAATATATTCCTAGTCTAGTATCAAGAACAATTACTTGTGTACATTCATTTGAATTTATTTACTTTTCTGAAAAATGTTTTTGGCTGATGTAGACACAGTTGGGGGCTGAGAAAAGGCTGACAAATCAAATATGTATTATTTTAAACAAAACAAGAGATATGCGTGGGGGTGTCTATGCTTATTTTCTGACGCTTTCTGCCGATAAGTAAATGTAGGAAATATTACTAAAACTAAGCTTTATTCTCTTCTCTTACAGATATTTCTACTGTTGATCATCCTGCTGTATCTCAGCTCATATGTGGTTGTATCACGTTTTCGGCGACGCGATCGCGACGATCTCTATTCGAATGACGAGGACGAGGTGCTGGTCTATCGCATAAGGTAAGCCCCTAGCCAGTGACCAGGTGTGGAGTCAACAACCTGCCTAGTCACTAGCCCCTCGAATTGCAGTGCCAATAATGAAATTGAATTTTTCTCTTTAGCTTTTGGCTCTGCACATTCACACTGGCGGTGGCAGAAGGGGCGGCCATGCTGCTGCCAGTGTCCATTGCCAGCAATGAGGTGCTGCTGCTCTATCCAAACAGCTACTATGTCAAGTGGCTGAATAGTTCCCTCATACAGGGTGAGTTACTAGTTAATATTCTACTTATTATCTCACTAATTCCATGATTTTTCAATGTTTCAGGCCTGTGGAACCATGTGTTTCTGTTCTCCAATCTGTCCTTGTTCATCTTCCTGCCCTTCGTTTACTTGTTTTCCGAATCGACAGGGTTTGTGGGACATAAAAAGGGCATCCTGCCGCGTGTCTACGAGACCTTTACAGTATTTATGCTTATGGCCGTGATTGTTCTGGTACTGACAGCCGTTCTAAGTGCAGTCTTTGGCATTGAAAAGTTGCAATTCTTTTGGTTTCTAAGTGAGTATCCCCCCATTATCCGATCGCAACAAACCCACTCCCCTATTTAGAATCGACGACTGGGATCGGCTCCAGTCGCAGACCAAGTGCACAATGCTAATTTATAATATCCGTTCTTCATGCTTCACAGATCTGGGCAGTGTTCACCTTCCGTTCCTTTATTCGTGTGTCTCGTTTTTGGGCGTCATGCTAATGTTGAGTGAGTATAAACTATATTGTATATATAATAGAATTAATTATCTTCTGCTTCCATCTGCTTGATGTACTTGTCGATGTAGGCCAGCTGGGTGGGATTCTTCTCTCGTGCCTGGGCGATGCTCGACTCATACTCCTCCTTCTGGTTGAGGCCCTTGTGGGCATTGGCCTTGTAGAGCCAGGCGCGCAAATTCGAATCCTGCAGCTTGTCCAGCACGTATTGGCAGTCCTGGAGAGCTCGCTTGAAGTTGCGCAGCCTGTGGAACAAGAAACTATAGTATATGATCTCAAAATTCTCAAAAGAAACTTACTTGATGTAGCACAAGGCGCGATTGTTGTAGGTGATGGCACTGTCCTTGATCTTTTCAATGGCCCTGCCGTACAGTAGAATCGCCTTCTCCAGTTTATTGGAACGAAAGGCATCGTTACCTTGCCTGAAATCATGCCCTTTAGGAAATGTCAGTAAAGAGGAGATGATTCTTACGCTCTAAGCATCTCAGCTTCGTACTCGCGCTTAGCACGGGCCTCGGCTCTGTCGTTGGCATCCTGCTCCACCTGCTCCATGAAGCTCTGCTGGTTCATGGTCTTGGTCTCCTTCTCGGCCTCATCTTCCAGGGCCTTCTTGTTGATCACCGTGCGATTACCCGTCACTTTGAGGCGCACCTTGTCCACATCGAGGTTTTCAAAGTCCACATACTCCTTAACCTTGTCGACTTTCTCTTTTTCTGGATCAGAGGATTCAGGAGCATCCTTGTTGTCTAGAATATCCTGTATCTTTTTCAAGGTAGCCTCGAATTCGGTAAAATCATCGATGTCCTTAGCATTGAGGTTGCTCTTCTTCAGAGTCGCCTTTAGCTGGTCGGTATTCACATTTTCCTCCCCAGACATGATTCTGATTCGGATTCTTTATTGTACGTCTTATGAATATGCTGTTTAAATATGTTCTGACTCACTTTCCGAACGTTACAAGCCAGATCGGAATTCCAGAGTTTACTTGGATGCTATAGCAACCGATAAACATAACACCTTTTTTCAAAAGGGTGTTATTTTTGTCAGCATAGTAACCTCTTTCGTTTCTTTGCAGTCTGCACCCCTTATGGCTTTGTGCGCCTGTTTGGTGTTGTCAACCAGGTGCTGGTCCGCCCTATGCTGCTGCGGGACGTGAACGAGGAATTCAGCGCCTTCTACATGGAGGAGGCGAGTGTCAAGCGAAAGCTCGCCCACCTCGAACTGCAAAACGTGAGCATCGCGGACATGGCCAATGGCGGTCGCGTGGGAATCGTCTTGGGACGGGGCAAACCTTTTCAGCCGCAGCCCCTGCTGGAACAGTCGCAGGCACATCTCTACCAGCGGAAGGCGATGCCCAGCGACATGGGCGAGCAGCAGTTGATGCTGAACGAAAGACTGAGGCAACTGGACAGCGAGCGCAAGGAGCTAGACAAGCTGCGGAAGTCGAGCACCTTCCACCGCACCTTTGTTTACCCGCTGGCCATGTTGCTGTTGCTCTTCTTCACGGGAGTGACTATTCTTCTGGTGGTACAGAACACGCTGGAGCTGCTGATTGGCATTAAAGCCTTGCCTCTGAGCACAAGGGTGAGTCTTCTTTATCCAATGAACTATATGTCCTTTATTACAACAATATATATGTCTATTTCAGCAACTCACGCTCGGCATCTCATCGCTATCGAAGCTGGGACCCTTTGGCGCTGGATTGGAGGTTTGTCTTATCTTCTACCTGGGCGCCACCTCGGTTGTGGGCTTCTACAGCATGCCCTTCATGCGGAATGTTCGCCCCAAAAGGCGGGAAACTTCGCTACCCCAACTGATGCTCAACTGTGGCTTTATGCTGGTTTTGTCCTCCGCCCTGCCGCTTCTCAGTAGGATTATAGGTGAGGATAACCACTCGCAACACAAGATTAGAGTTTAATTATTATCCTTTTCTTGTAGGCATTACGAACTTTGACTTGCTGGGTGACTTTGGCGCCATTGAGTGGCTCGGAAACTTCCAGATTGTCCTGCTGTACAACTTGGTATTTGGCACCACGACGGCCCTGTGCCTGGCCAACAAGTTTACGGCTACGGTGCGGCGGGAGCTGCGCGCCCGGTTAGTGGAGAACTATGTGCTCTTTACTAACTACATGAGCTTCATCAACTGATATTTGTGCAAGCGTCGCGACAACGCGTCTTTGGTCAGGATGCCCACCAACCAATGTGCCCACCACCTGATCAGACGCCTTGTCGAGTCGCCGCTGCAGAGCCTAACTAGTTTCTATGCCAATTATCGCAACCTTAGTCGTAAAAGCAGTCGCAATACCACCGCTAGTCGCAAGGCAAACGAAACTGAACTGAACTGTTGAGAAGAAATAAGTCAAAATATTGGAACGGGCAGCTAAAACTATATATAATATACCTTTACATATGTTATATGATCACGTGTAGTTGTGCAGAACTGATACTGATACTGATATTTAAATGTTGCGGCATGAACTGTTGTGCTTAATTGTTTCACTTAATGCAGGATCCCAATCGAAAACCACATTATCCCGATATATGTATCCCGAGATATAGCAAATCTCGCAGATAGTTTATTGTGTAAATAGCGAAAAGTGAAAGTTTGGCCGTAGTCAACGTTTGCCGTTTAGACCTAGGCTATATTATTTGTATTTAAGTCACTTATCGTTCAGAGTCTAGTTCTTAATTTCATTTCATACATGTTATACGCTATTTAAGCATTATGTGTATTTTTGAGTTATTTGTTTAAGATTTTAACAATGTTCCTTAAGAGTAGCGCACCGACTGAGGCGCCTTCATTTCATTTTACCACATACTCTATATGCTACACTACAATATAACACAATATTCACGAAATCACACACTTACAAGCGTCTTAAACATATGTGATAAAATATAATAAAGCATTTTACTAATTCATCGAAATATCATGGCTTTTCTTACGCAATTAATGCAATTAAATATTAAATATTTGATATTTGGTTTTGAAAACTATTTTTCAACTTTTATTTCAGCCTTACTTCAATGTTCCTACTGGCATAGTTGCAACGCCTACGAAATGGAGTTTTACCTTTAAGGGTTTAACAATATGGCTGTGATATATGGTTATTTTAAGCTAAATAAAACGAAAAATATTGGATGAAACAAAAATTTATTTTTTTTAATTCGGTCAAATTTTGATTTATTGCCCAATTTAATTTGGTGTCTATGGAAAAGCCTATGCTTGTCTTTTTTTTGGAAATAATTAAACTTTGGTAGTAATTAGTAAACATTGATATAAAAAGAAACTATATAACAAATAAGTTAAAATGTAAAAAATTATTTGAAATTCTATAATCACCACAGTTTTGGGTCTATGGGTAGCACTTTTAAATCAGCTGCTGTTCATTTTATGGGCAGCACTGTTTGAACAGCTGTTGATTGTTATAAAATAGCCGGCTATAGTTATATTATTTTTAGGTCTTAGTTTTCAATTAAAAAAGCATTTAGAATAATGTTAATAAGAAGAATTAAGTGCCTCGGATTTCTGGGAGTACGCTACAACAGTTCGCACTATGTGACAACACCGATTTTCTATGTAAACGCAGGCATGTTAATTGGACTTTTGGCAAATAGAATATTATTGTTTGTTTATCAAGAAACTTGATTGGTTTAGCTCCCCACATTGGCCACTTGTACTCGGCGGTGATAGCCGATGCCCACTGCCGGTACCAGAGATTAAAGTATCCGGAGAGAAAGGTCCGGCTTTGTACGGGAACCGACGAGCACGGGACCAAAATTCAACAGGCAGCGGCACTTCATAAGATTCCGGTGGCCACATATTGTGACCAGATTTCCCAGCGGTACCGGGAGGTCTTCCAGAATGCCAACATCCTGCAGGATGATTTCATACGCACAACAGAGGAGCGCCACAAACGGGCAGTGGCTCATTTCTGGGTAGGATTGAAAGATTACAGCTAAAAGATTGTATTTACAAGCATATTATATTTCTTTGGTAATCCTTATTAACAGCGCACCCTAAACTCCCGTGGACACATCTACTCGGCTGCCTACAGCGGCTGGTACTGCGTTTCCGATGAAACCTTTCTGACAGACTCTCAACTGAAGTTGGACGAGGCAACGGGTACTCGCTATTCCCTGGAATCTGGCCATCCCGTTGAGTGGACAGAGGAGACCAATTACATGTTTCGCCTATCCAAGTTCCAAGATGATGTGATTCACTGGGTGAAGCAGGAGGCTCGCATCCGTCCGGCCAAGTTTGAGAAGATCCTACTAGACACTCTTAGTGAACCGCTGCCGGATGTTTCGGTGTCCAGACCCTCGAATCGGGTTCACTGGGCCATTCCCGTGCCGGATGACTCCTCGCAGACGGTGTACGTTTGGCTAGATGCTTTGGTCAACTATCTCAGTGCCTTGGGGTATCCGGATGAGAAGGTTTGTAGCCTTTTAGAAGGAAGGACATTCAATTCTCACCTTGTTCCTTTAGTACTCTGCCTTCTGGCCACCGGCCCAGCAGATAATCGGCAAGGATATCCTCAAGTTTCACGGCATTTACTGGCCTGCCTTCCTGATCGCCGCCGGCCTCCAACCGCCTGGGCAACTGTATGTCCACTCGCACTGGACCGTCGACGGACAGAAGATGTCGAAGAGCAAACAGAATGTGGTCAATCCGGTCCAGGCAGCCGAACAGTACACGATGGAGGGCCTGCGCTACTTTTTACTGCGTGAGGGCGTGGCACACAGCGACGGCAGTGAGTAGACGAATCGAAGAGGAAACCGCGAACTCTCTTTGATGTCTGTGGCTTGTTCACTTTGCGGTGCTGCAGTGGGTGGGTCCGGGCAGGCCCTGTGGTTATTCAAATAGTTTTCCCATCAAATTATCAACCCAAACGGCCAGGGGATGGCTGAGAAGTGTTCGCATGTGAGTGGCCATCTGTCGTCGTTAGTTTTACGGCTATGACTACGGGTACGGTTACGGTTACGGGTACCTTTGCTTTAATTTGCATTTCAATTTTATGCCCGAACTGCCAAACCAAGCTGAACCGAAAAAGGGAAAAGTTTTGGGGAGCTGCTGACTTTTGTTTATTTGCCTCGAAAGTTTTTGTATCTAGAACTTGGCGACCAGAAGATTCCGGTGGCATTTGCATAAGAGTTGGCAAACTTTCCTCGTCCGGGGGATTTTGGCAATTGTCTGACAGATATGATTAGGTCCTACACTCGAGGTTCGGGTGGGTTATCGAAAGCAATTATCACACTTGACTGATCTGGCGGAGTGTCACTGTTTGATTGATTCCCCCGAACCTTTTTGTTTCCGTTTTCAATTTGCATAAAATCAGCCAATCCCGCCCTGTCTACCCCCTCCAAAATCCACATCTCCCCACTGGTTTGGTCTTAAAATTTAATTTCCAATTATTGCTGACTTTGCTTTTCCGCCGGATTTTCCAGTCGACAGTCGGCCGGCTGCTTTTCACGTTTTCCTTTATTCAATTTGCGCTTGTTGATGTTTCTCTTTTTAATTTTTTTTTATAAGCCCCACTGCCTTGTGGCTAATTTAATTGCATTTTTATTGCATTTGGCAAAGAACCATAAAAAAATATTGAAATGAAAATGAAAATGTCCGAACTGCAGCAGTGCGTCAGCGGCGGCGTATTATTAAATTACATGAACATTTCGACGTGGCGCCCGCTCCTTTTTTGCATATTTTCGGGGCCATGAATCATTTATGCGTGGTGGCAGCGGATAAATTTACTTTAATTCGCACCAAGTGCCGTCCATTAGGCGAAGGGGAAAAAAGTCGGTCATTTCTTATTCACAGTCGGTCGACAATTCGATTCTGACGGTAGGAAGGGCCCTAGGTGGAATCCGTTTTCATAACAGCATCATTAAACGCTCAAGTTTTCATTACAGGTCAGGAACTTCCGCAACACAGAAATTGCATTTTGAATTTGACGCAATAACAGCTGCAGGAATAGACCAAGGACGACCAGGACCGCACAGGCAACATCTGCGGTTCCCTTCGGAAAAAAGTTGCATGGCAAATGCAAATGCAGGATGGTGGTGCAGGCTGATGCAATAAACTTCCTTGGGGCGTCACTCAATTTAAAAAATTTGAATACTTAAACTTGTCACCGATGGCTCTGAGATTTGGAATAGAAAAGCTTTCCATGTAGCTGCCAGCCAGCCCAGCACTTCGGTGTCTTGTTCCCTAAGGGTTTTAAACTTTTAATAGTTAAGCCTGGGGAGTGAGTTTAGTCCTTTTTAACTCTCTTTAAACTTGCTTTAACCTCATTAGTATTTTTCAACCTTCCATTAAAGATAAAAAATATGTAATCTGAATATAGCTCATACGCCCTGTGAGCCCTGCGCTTGCTACATTTTTGATGGCAACACTTGTGCTCCTTCGCCTTCCACTTAAAGCCAAGTTCTGCCGGAGGACCCTGCGAAATTGTGTCAAAGTTCTAGGGCAAGTTGCTCAAGTTGTTTAAGGTGTAGCAGTCGCATTCGAAGTGCAACTCTTGGGGCACGTAAAAAAGTATTATTTATATTAGGAGTATTATTTATATTTATATTGCCGGTAGGAGAGGCAGCATTGGTCCAAGGGCCGGAAGATACAACACACCCACATTGCATGCTCACTCCCCTCTAAAGTCACGTTGCAACATGTGTGGAAAGTGCTGTACCCGACTTCCTTGTTCCCGTCAGCAGGATCCTTGCTTTTTTGCTCTGCTTTCTGTTTCTAGCAATTTGTAGCTGCTCACGTAAGCAGTTAAGAGTTGGCCTGGCTCGGACTTTAACTCCGAGGTGGGTCCGGGTAGCCGGTAATGCCCGACCCCTCCTTCTATACAAAATACAACACGTTTTGCGGCCCATTTCGAACAATTTCATTAGAAAGCCATACAGGGGCGGGCTGCTAATAAAGTTTGATGCAATTCACATTGAATTTTTGGCCCTAGGCTGCCAAGCGATTGCAATGCCATCAAAATTCAATGAATTCAAAATGAAAAGGCAGTAGTCGGAGAGTTCAGAGTTCGGTTTAGTTTTCTCTCAAAAGAGTATCTCGGAGGCAGTTAGCTATGGCTATAGGAATACACATTTAAATACATTTTGAAAGAAGGGAATATATTTTAAAATATTTTCCCCAAAATTTCCATCAGAAATATTTTTGAAAAATATATAAACCTTTAGTAGAAAGCAGTACCTAAAAGTCGCCTATCCACAAGAACCCTTTTTCTAGCTTGACATAAATTTGATTTTCGAGAAAACTAGCATCCATACATGGGAACTCAACTCAATCCGACACTTTTTCATTTGCATTTCGTTGACGAACAGAGGAGCCGGTCCTCTCCTCTATTTTTTCTAGTCGCGAAGCAAAATTAATGTTGCAGGCAACACTTTTTGGCAGTTGAATTTCCCCAGAGATGAGAAAGGCAAGCGGAAACCTCATTTGACAGCATGCAGGTGAAACGGGAGTCGAATGGAGAAACTTTCCGAATGCACAAAAGAAATGTGTTTGCAGTGGAAACTATTGCTGGCTGGGGTTTTGTTTCAATTTCGAAATCGGAAACGGAATGGCAGAATTTCGAGCCGTAATGATTGCTTGCCACCAGCAATTAGCCGATTATTGTCTTAGTTGGCAGTGCCAGTTTTAATTACCATCAGGTTGCAGTGGAAAATTTAATTTTCGTGCCTCTGCAACAATATGTGGCAATGCGCACTTTGGATTGAATTCCTAAAATGGTATGATTTAAAGCATTTTGTTGGTCTAGCCAAACTAGAACACTAAAGTATCTCTATTTTGAACCAGAATAAACTGAAATCAGCGCTTGTCTAGTTAACTTTTTGCGAATTCCTCCGGCGAGCACATCATTATACTTATAGTCGGATCTAGTCCCTACACAGACTCACAGCTCCATCTCCTCCATTCAATTCAATTTCCCTCGAGCACAGATCCTGCAACTATTAGCACAGCTTAAATCCTTTCGTGTTCAGCTCCTTTCCCACAAAGCCACCTGCAGCAGCATTTGTGTGTTTCGCCAAGGAAAATGCGGAGAGCTGCTTGCTGCCAGATTGTTGTTGTTAAATTATTCGTATTTTATCTTGTCCAGCTTTTTATTTATCTCCTTTTTTTCTGGGGCGACAGGAACCCTTGACTCTGGACTCTCTGTTTCCGCCGTGCTAATCCCCTTAATGGCCAGTCGGTCGTATGGCGAATTTGTGAGCGACTGAAGCCGCTTAAGGAGTAAGTTAAATGGAAGATGAAAGTATCGCTCATACGCCCTGTGTGTCACTTAAAATTTGAAACGGAATTTATCGTTCTTTTTTGGCAGGTCAACCAACTTAATATTAATAGACCTATCATACTTAATGTAAATTTATCAAAATTGAAAACCTAATTGAATTTCAAAGAATTGATTTTCCTCGCATACCTTATCTTATCTTTCAAAAATTTCTTTGACAAACTGACACGTTGTCGGGTCTCGTTTGCTTACAGACTACAGCCACGTGAAGGCACTGCGCATCCTCAACTCGGAGCTGGCAGACACCCTGGGGAATCTGCTGTCCCGTGCCTGTGCCAAGACGCTCAATCCCCGCCAAATCTATCCGTCAGCCCAGGCCGAGCATTTAGCGGATCTCCTTGGAAGCCTGGATGCGGCCAAGCGGCTGCAGGAGTCGCTGGTGCAGCTGTCAGGTGAGTGGAGGCACCAGGATTGTGTTGGGCTTTAAACGGAATGGAGTGTAGTGGAGTGCAATGGAGCGATACTTTGTCATTTTAATATTTAAGCAGTCATGCTCGAGCTGAAGTGGCGCTCTATCCAGAGATAGAGCTGCTTTATAATCTGCATTTGCGCCTGCATCCGCATCTGCCTCAAGCTCTTCCGGGCAATCACCGGGTGGTAAGAGCACTAGAGAATGTGGCCATGCCAGTGGCTTCAAGTGGGCCAGGCACAGCCATCATTCTGCTTATTGTGGCTTGTCCACTTGAAAAAATTAGAGCTATTTTTTAGCGCTATACTCCAGTAACTGTGCAACATGCCGCCCATTTTATGATTATGCTTCTACATTTTGTTTCAAGTGATATTGTTTAATATTTTTCAGAACGATGCGCTCAACATTACGAGTGCAATCACTTCCACTTGGTGGCTGACACTGCCATGGCGACTCTGCATGCGGCCAACAACTTCTTCGAGACGAGCCGGCCCTGGGAGCTGAAGAAAGGAGCGGCGGGCAGCAATGAGCCGCGTTTGGAGACCATAATCGCCATGACAATGGACGCACTGCGACTCTGCGGCATTGTGCTGCAGCCCATAATTCCCCAGCTGGCCACGCGGCTGCTCGATAAGCTCAGTGTCCCCGCAACGCAACGTGGCTGGAATTATTTGGCCGAGAGCTTTGCCAACACCGCCCACCATGGCGGGAGTCGTCAGTTGAATGAGCAGAGCAGTGCGATGTTGTTCCAGCGGATTCTTGAGGAGAAGGAGGAGCGCAAACCGCAACCAGCCAAGCGGAGTAAAGCCAAGAAAAAGGAGCTCCGCGAAACAATGTCCTGAAGTGGCCATAATAAACTGATTCCGAAGTCAAGCCAACAAAGACATTTATTTCTGAAGGGGGCTTAAAAGCACCAGTTTACAAAGTGCTTTAAAATTTTCCATTACGAACAAAATATTAATTTTTAAGTCTGCTCCCAAGAAATAATTTTTAATTTCTTAAGAATTGGTTTTAAAAGAAACAGTATTTAATGGCTGTAGTGTACACGGACTGTAAACTAGTGTAAACTGGGCAAATCAAAAGCCCAGGCCAAACCATTCAGCTTCCATTGGGACTCTCTCGTTCGCCAAGTCTCATTAAAATCCACTTAATTATGGGCAGGAAGGAAAAAGCGACGCCGTCAGCAGCCACGCTGCTGTCTCATATTCGTTTGTAATTTATTACGCGTAATTGAAGTCAGCATCAGGTGGCGAGGATGGGGTCGTTATTTATAGCCTTCAATTGGTAAACAGGTTGAGGGCAAGCCACCAGACCACCAGGCCACCAGGCCACCAAGCCACTGGGCCACCAAGTCAGCCAGACTTTTATTTGTTAATTTATTTTAATTTCCCGAGCCCCGAGACTCGAGACCAAAAAAGCCAACATAAAAGGGCCAACGAAGAGCGTAATCAAAACAAATGGCAGTGTGGCTCTCAATCTAAGTAGAAATGCATGTAGTCGGGCAGGATACGGTGGATTTGGCGGAGAACCGAAGGGCCAAGTCAAGTGCAACCATTAGAGTCAATTGCTGGCTGGCCCAGAGGAGTAGACAAAGCTGATTACATTACTCGCTAGCCAATTTCAGATCCAGTTTAGTTTTTTGCCTAACACACCATGAAATGCACGATTTCTACATAGAAATAAATTTATTTAAAAAAATATCTATATTTATTTAAAAAAATGGAAAGTTTTAAAAGCACTTATACCAGAAATTTTATTTTTTGGGCGGGTATTGTACTTAGTATACTTTACTTAGAAAGTATTTAAAAATGTTTTCTTTACTGTGTAACGAAAATAGTTTAATTAAGATCTCGCACACAAAATTCGAGCTTATACACGGGGCATCAATCAAGTCTCAGGTCCAGAAGTCGAAAATTGTTGGCCAACAGTGTGCAGTTTTACTTTACTATTTGCTCAGCTCCATCCAGTGTGTTCAGTTGATTGCGCCTGAGTGGATGAAATACCCGCCACCATCAGCTGCAGGTAAACAACAATTTAACTCCATTCCGGGCGAGGCCCGTCTCTGCCGGAGACCCAATCTGGCAATTAGCCAGCCAAAATGTGCGGGCTTTTGGGCCCGGTTAACTTGCAATTTGCTCTGCGGCCTAAAGTTCCAGCGATGCTGGTGCTACTAATGCGGATGCTCATGACGATGTTGTTGCAGACACTTTATCGAGCGCCTGAAAGGATAACGCATCAAATGGAGGCCAGGACATGCTGACGGACGGGGAATTTAGCGGCAAAATATACTGCATTTTCCCAGGAGCATGGCTAAAGTTTGATTAAATTGAAATTGGTTGAAGGCTTTAATGGGAAAATGTAGACTATTTTTACCTCTGCAGGAGTTTGGAAAATATTCTCTCGTATTGCAAGCTAACATGCCCCTTTCTTCAAAAGCAGATTTCAAAGAAATAATAACAATGGAAAGACATCTTAAACATCGTTCTATACTTGTACGAGAATCAATTAAAAATGTTTTGATGTAAAGCATTGTATCAGAGCCTAAGCATGGTTCTTGTTTTCTTCTATGAATCTCCCTTTTTTCGATCTGCAGCAGGGCGTAATTGAATATACAACCGGGGAAAATTTAATTTATATGGAAAGCAAATTAAGTTGACGGTAATGAGACAGCAGAACAGAGGAGAACAGAACAGGCAACATAAACAAGCGCATTAACATGCTTGACTTGTAAAAAGTTGTTAAGTTTGCATTTAAAATGAAATTATGCAGGCTGCGTCCCGGTTACTCCTCCGTAGGTTGTATCCCTGCGGAGGGATACAGGTAATAAGGTTAATGATTCACTTTAAATGCTGCTCAAACTTGAACGCAAAACCTAAAGTGGTCCACTCCGGCCCCTTGTTATTGCAAAGGATGCTGCTCCTTGTTGCGGTAGATGTTGCACTTTGATTAATTACAAAGTTGCTCGATGGCCACAGTGGCCTTTGTGGAGATTTCCGCCGTCTGCCGTCTGCCGGCCACTCACCACTCAGCCAATGCATAATTAAATTTCCCGGAAGGCCACGTGGCGTATGCGCAATATTGTAAGCGAATTAGCCTGGCCCCAAAGTTGTTGCCACTCGCTGTTGCTTAAGTAGCCGGTTCGAGGCATTCGAAATTGATTCGCTTTGAGCCGGCTCAGATTTCCCTCCAATATTCCGGTCCATCAAATAATATGCATATCGCATTGATGCACGCTTTCTAAGCAATTAAACATGATTCCATGATTCATCATCTTGGTTGTATCCAAAGGCTTCAATGCTTGAACTTTAGCCATGATTGAGTAGATTTCTCTTAGAAAATCTCTAAACTCTCTAAAATCTCCAATTAACTTACATAAATAATAAACTAATTTGAATAAAGCATGAGAGCTAAGAGAGGTTAGTAACCACTTAAAACACCAGCTTATGTGTCACTGCAATAGTGGATTGTTGGATTTTCCATTTGTGAATCGATTTAAATATGCAAATACCACAATTCACATGGAACTACAAATGGAATAATGTTGCAAATGTGTAAATTCCGGTTAACTAATTCAGTAAGCCAACTCGAAAGTGTTTAATGATTCGATGCTGGAGCCACATGTACAATGCAAAGTTCAACAAGACCGGCTAACACAGTCATTGTAATTCTCCAATTAACGCAATTAAATGCGAAAATTAAATCGACCGTATTGGGCATTTAATTAGTCCCGATTTATGTCGGTGAAATTTAAATTTCAGAATATGTAGGGCTTCTCCTACCAAACTAATCATAGTTTTTGCTGCCTCACATAATCTGTAATTAAATTGCACTAAAAAATTCCACCCAAATCCTTAATCCCTTTTGCCCACACACACACACTCCAACACACACTTGTGCGCCCTTCCAGACAGCCAAGCAAGTATGCGAGTCGTTATCCCTTTTAATGAATTTTTTTCTGGTCCGGTCGGCCTTCGCTTTTCATTTTGCTGGGCGGGCAGCAAAGTTTATTTTGCTTTAACCCTCGACAGACCCAGCTGCCCCGTTCCGATCTCCAAAAGGTACCCCCGAGTCCCCGTTTGCAACCTTTTTTGCGCCAAAGTAAATATTTTACTATGCCACTATTTAAAGCATACTTTCAGGCGGCTGTCGGCACAGCTGCACTATAGGAAATTTGACCACTTTTTCTGGCCAAAAACCATTTTTTGAAAGTTAAAGAACATAAATAATTTTAACTGCATATCATTCACAATAGATTAATTTTTAATGTTGCGTACCAGAAATTTCCATAGATGGCGCCACTGCGAAAAAATCAGCTGTTAAAAACAGCTGTTGATGTTAACATTTGCATGAGCTAAGAATTTAAGATTTTTTGGTGCTATTTTTAAAAAGCGAATACTGAAAATTTTATGGACAAAATCAAAAGTTTTGAAATGAATACTTCTCAATGTGGTTTGTATTATGTGTTTGTGTATGTGAAGTGTCCAAAAAACTTGTGTTGTCTTTTTAATAAAGTGAAAATGTAAGTAGTCTAGCAACAGAAATTTTTAGAATTAAATCACATTTTTAAAAAGAGAGTTAAACTAAGTCAGGCCGAGTCGGACAATGTAATTTAGTCCATGTTTTAGATTGTTTAATTTTCTTCAAATGAGTGAAATATGAATATGCATAAAAATGCACTTTCGAAGAAATTCATAATTTAAGGAGGCAACCTCAACACCTTGAATGTGAATCTGTTAGCTGTGAGACTAGTGCAAAACCGAACAGTTAGCATGTTATTTTTAAATAGGGAGCGGTGCCACGCCCACAATTTTTTCATTTCTGAGTTCTTTTGACCATATAAACTCAAATCAAAAATCAAAATCTAAATATCTTGCAAAGTTTTTGAGTTAGAATGTGTTTCTTAAAAAGTGGGCGGTGCCACGCCCACATTTTTTTTAAATCTTAATTCTATTGACCATGTGAACTCAAATCAAAAATCAGAACTTAAATATCTGGTTTCGTTCTTGAGATATTATTTTTGGCCAGAAAAAGTGGTCATATTTCCTATAGTGAGCTGGAAAGCCACAGCAGCTGCAGCCTGAGGCAAGCAGCACCAGAAAGAATTTTTGGGGCGCAGATACACTCAACTGTACGATACCTGGTACTCCTATAGATGACTTCTACTTGACGGCACTCTTATAGATCTCCTACAGCACTCTGGCCTTTTGAGGTCGTTAAGAGGAGTCTTTGCAGTATTTTAAATTTGGTTCTTTAATAACATCACAAACATTCGAACCGCTTCAAAAAGGGTATGAAGAATCAGTGAAAGCCCTACAGAAGCAACAGCCTGGCAGCCATTTTATTTTTGCAATATTTTCCAGGTCAAAATGTCGTAGAACTTTTATTAACTTCATGGCAAACCTCTAGCATGCAACTGTGTGTGTGTGCGAGTGTTTGCTTGGGTGTTTGTTTCTCTGTTTGGGCTCGTCCTTGTGTTTGTGTCTAAACATTAAAAGTAGCTTAGTGTTGTCGGTCGTTGGCTGTAAGTGTTTGGGTCTCATGTTGATAACTTATATTGGGAATGTCAACAGCCGAATGCGCTTCGAGTGGATTTTGCATTAGACCCAATGTCCAAGGATCGTTATCCTGGCTGAGACTCGAGTGTCCTCATTTGGGTTGCTTTATGGCTTGGAAAGAGGCCATTCAAATGAGCAAAACCGCAAGTTGGTTTTAAAGTTTCCCTCTCTATTTTTTGGGAAATCTTTTTTTCCCTAAAAGAATTTTTCAAAGTTTTTTGTGCAACTACTGAACTCTGAGTCCTTTCTCCAAGTAAGGAGGGTAAGACGTTGATGGGTAAGACATAATAATTTGCTGCACTTTCCCATGACAATGCA